TGGACAGACCCAGACAGCAAAGAAGGGTATTTCTTAGCTCAGACAGCACCCTCCCAGTGATAGGCAGCATGCGGTCCCCTTCGTTCTGGAGGGTTTAGTTGCCGGGTTGTTTGGTTTGGGATAAGGATGCAAGCCCGCTTGCCTAGTCCCAGATGTAGTTTCCAGCATGTATGTATGTGGGGATCAGCATGGTCTGTGGAGAAAGGCTGAGGGTAGCCGCCTATCCTCAGGCATAGCTAGGATTCCAGGGACCAGTCCTCATCCTGGTGGGCTGGGGCCGGGCTCAAGATGCTGCCCTGGCATGCTTAGGGCATGCCTCTGGCCCAGCAAGGATGGAAGAGAGCAGTGAGGCAGCTGCCACTCTGGCCACTGGAGCCTCCCACATGCCTCCTGCTGCCCAGGCCTAACTCAGGTCCCACAATGCTCCTGTTGTCCACAGCTCTGCCAGGCTATCCCCAGGGAGCAGCTCAGAGCCAAGGGCCTGGGCAGGGCCATGATTCCTGGGGCACAGTATGGGTAGAAAAGCACAGTAGTCAGACCCACGTGGAACTTGGGGAATCCTAGAATCTGGCAGTCAGAGAAGTTTAGAAAGACAAAATCCTAGAATTTGAGCACAGGTGCTGAGGCCCAGGCCCTGCAAACTGGGGGGATGGCCCTGCTCCACTGTCCCACTCCCTTGGCTTATTTTTTCATTATACACATACACTTGGCTCTGCCAGACTTACCCAGATTCCTCATCTTTCCAGTGATCTGCCTGCGGCCCTGGTGCTACGTTGACAAATTTCCTATTCCTCACTTGAGGATGGTTTTGTTTTAAAATTAGAGCCCGATTTTCTCCTAGCAGCGTTAAACTACCAACAGTTGTTGGTATGAGGAAGTTAAAATGTTTTTTTTCCAAGTGATTGGTTAATACTATGACCAGAGTAATAATTGAAAAATTAATTAGCAACAAATACTGTATGACTCCACTAATGTACTAGAGTAGTCAAATGCACAAGAGTAAAATGGTGGTTGTTGAAATATGGAAGCAGCAGAAGGATGGAGAGGAAATTGGGAGTGAGTGCCAGTGAGTGCTGAGTTTTGGGGGTGATGAAAACGTTCTAAATTAAATAATGGTGATGGTTGCACAACTCTGTAAATATGCTAAAAACCACTGAACTGTTCAGAATGAATTTTACGGTATGTGAATTATATTTCAAAGCTGTTGTTTAAAAAAGTCATACCTGCTTTTTTTACAAATTCAAACCATAATGAATTTTAAAAAGTAAGTCTGCCATACCCCCAATATCACTCCCATAGTTAACCACCAACAGCATATGGGCTGGAATCCTTTTTTTCCTGATGTTTGAAAACTCCACATATATATACTCATGTAAATGTGTGGATACAGAAATGTATATGATCCACACATCATATACATATGAATTTCCTTCAGAAAAGCAAGACCCTATCACATCTATTATTCTGTATCCCCAGCTTTTGCTGTTTCACACCTTTGGCCGTGTACCTCTGTGACATTGTTTGTTAACAGCTGTGTGGGTTTCTGTTGTCCAGCTGGACCACAACATCATCACCCAGCCCCTTACAAATCAGCATTTAGGTTGTTTCCAGGGCTTTGCTGTTAGCAAACAATAAACATATTTGTATGTGTATCTTGGGGCCCCTGGGATAGTATTGCTGGAGGACAGAGTCCTAGAAACAGGCCTGCTGTGTTATAGGGTGCGCATACCCCTACATCTATTGATTGAACCTTCCATAGGAGACATCTTTGGCTGGGTCTTCCAGCAAGTCAGTGGCAAGGACAGTAGGTGGGAGGGTGGTGTGTGTAGAATTGGGCCAGGCACCCCTCCCGCCCCAGGATCAGAACACACTACACACATGGCCTCTGGCTCTGAGAAAAAAGCAGCCCACCGGCCTCTGAACAGGTGCAGAATCAAGTGGACTCAAAAGCCAGAGGTTCCCGTTGGTGATCATGAAATTCTTTTTCCCCAGTTTTTCTGGGTCCCTTCCATGGCAGTTCCTCTCCCTTTTACCTTTCTGAAACTTACCTCAAGGTCTGTGTGTGAGAATAAAAGTAAGCTGTAGGACCTGGTCACTCATTCACTCATTCATTCCCACCAGCGCTCAGTCTGTTAGCTTCTCCCACCGGCTACAGGCTCTGTTTTTTCTCCCTGCCCTTGCACCTCTCTCCCTCACAGCCCTCCTGCAGAGCACAGGGGCAGGAAGAATGGCGAGTGGAAGGCACAGCACCCTTCTCCAAACTAGTGGGGGCTCCTTTGGACACTTGTTGCTCCGGGGGCTTCTTTCTCTTGCCCCTTGTGCTGGATGAAGAGTATCCAGTAGTCTGTCACACTCACCAGACCAGCCAGCACTTCCTGGCCAGGATCCTGCCCACTTCTGGGACACCTGCCACTGTTAGCCTGGAATAAATTAGGTAGGATTCAAATTCTACCTGCAATGACTTCTCTCACTGGCTTGCATTCACTTGGCTTGTTTGGGGGATGGGTGTCATTCAGCTCAGATGTCCTGTCCTCACCTCCAAGACCCCTTCCTTGGCTGCCGTCTGTTCCCTTGGTTCTCTATCACAGTGCCTTGCTGTAGTTTCTTCCTAGCACCACTCGGCATCTGAACTTACCTTCATTGATTTGTGTACTTGTTCCCTGCCTGTCTTCCCCACAGGAATGTTAGTTCCATGAAGGCAGGAGCCCTGTCTTGTTCACTCCCATCTCCACTTGAGCTTCCCACAGCTTCCCAGCTGGGGAGCAGGTGCTCAGTAAATATTTACTGAATCCATGTTTGAATACGAATGCATACACAAGGTCTGGAAGGATAATTTCAAACTGACAACTGTGGCTACTTCTTAAGAAGGGACTGAGATTGAGAGGGACAGTCACATAGGAACTTTAGCTTTATTTTATTTTGAAAGTTTTGATGAGAATGTACTCACTTCTTAATTGATAGCTTGAAAATAAAGCATTGAATTAAAGGCCCAAATCTCTCAGTTTTAATTCTGAAATTATGGCATGCTTTTGGGCCAGTGACCTGACTTGCCTGGCTGGCTGTGGCTTCTGACCTCACCTATAAACACAGTCCCACCTCCCACCTGAGCCCTGGATTTACAGTCTGCACAGCATTTTCCCATCCATTAGCTCACCTGACTACCCATAACAGTACAGGCTAGGCAAAAATGATCTCCATTTTATAGGGTAGACATTGGGGATTGTAGGGGTGAGTTGTTTGGCCTGCGGTCACACAGCTGTGGTCATGCAGGTTCTCACTTCCTATCATGGCGAGCTGACTCAGATAAAGGCCACAAATGACTAATGGGGGCCCAGAGGGCTGTGCTATGTAAGCTATTATTATGGCAACCTGTTCAAGGTCAGATTTGGAGCTCTCTTCAGGGACCTGAAGGGAGCCCGTTAGGCTGCTGAGCACAGGGATATAATCCCTCCTGGGTTTTAATGAAAGAATCTTGGTGGTCTTTGAAGGCCAAGGTGGGTATTGGAGCCCTGAGGCCAACTCCCTGATTATTGAGAGCTCCTGGAACCCTCCTTTCCTGAAGTTGCTTTCCCATAGGGACAGGGCAGGAGGTGGCAATGCAGGGCTGGTGAGGGGCCAAGAGGGCTGGCCAGGCAGCCAGGCCTATGGCAACCCTTCCTATGTAGCCTGAGTCCACCTGCTGGGCCAAGACTATGGCCTTCCAGCCTCAGACAGATGCAGGGTGAGAGGCTGGCCCTGGTTGTGCAAGCTGGGGTCCCCTGCTCTGAGTTGTAATTGCATTCTGGGCTGGGACTCAATGGATTTTTAAGGAGGTGGGATTCCCCATGTTTCCTTGATAATTCACTCAAAAAGGCCCAGGTTAACAACCTGTGTATAAAACATTTTCAGTCCATTTCACCACATTTACTAGGTACCAGGACACAACAGTGTTTGTGAGTCATGACTGAAGGGTGAGGCATGTTACATCTAAATCCTCTCAGCCACTTTGTAAAGCAGGGATTATTCCCATTTTTAAGATGTGGAGACTGAGGTGCAGGAAGGCACAAGATCACTGACCGAGTGAGTAGGGAAAAACCAGGATCCGAGCCTGGGTAGATATGACTCCCAAACCCCTGTTGCTCCCGCTCCCGCTCCCGCTGAGGACTGAGGACGTGACAGATGACTAAGACCATGCTCCTTCCCTGGAGGGGTGGAGCTACAGACCCATCCCAGCTAGTTATTGCATTGGTCAGAGTGACATCACCCAGACAGCCAGAGTAGAGTGGGAGGCCGAATCATCCCCTGGCAGTCAGGAGAGGCGTCTGGGGAGGGGTTGCTGACCCAGGTCTTGGAGGGGAGCAGGAGGAGGCTGCAAAGGCCCAGGGCCAGATGCCCAATGCCACACCTGACAAGGGCCTGCTTCCTAGATAGGAGCCCTGTGCACCACCACCACCCCAGTCAGGGTGGAGGGAGGAGATGGTTCCAGTGCAGTGGGGGGGAGATCTCTGAGCCTACACAGTGGGGAGAACACTGAAGGGCCTGTTGTCCTGCTCAATACTTCACCGACTGGATACCTAGACTGATGGTAGTGGTGGGGGAGGGGAGGGGGGCACACACTACCGGGGGGTCAGGGGTGTTGTAGGGTAGGGAGACAAGGTGAGGGAAGCTGCCTGATTGGCCAGAGGTGCGTGGAATGTCTCCCAAAGTTTCAAATCAGGGAGGAAGAGGAGAGGCAGCGTGGTGGAGGTGGTGCCCGGGGTGGGCAGCCCGGTGGAGGTTGTGGGGGTGGAGGACGATGGCATTGCGGGAGGGGCTGGTTTGCGGGAGGGGAGGGATTCAGGGGCTGTCCCAGAGCTCTTGGAGAGGTTCACGGTGGGGAAGGGATTGTCCAGGCACTGCCAAGGAGAGCGGCGGAGGGGTGCCCGGCGGGTGGGCGGTGCAGGGGCGCGTCTGGGGGCGGAGCGGCCGCTGGGTTGGGCGCCAGGCCACCGCCCCTCTCCCCGCTCCGCGGCGGCGGCGGGCGGGGACCGAGGCCGTCAAGACGCCCTCGGCCGGCCCACAGCCAGCGGAGCGGGCAGCGGTGAGTAAGCGGCGGCCGGCCGGGCCGGGCCACGCGGGCGGCGGCTGCTCGGGCAGGTCCGGGCAGGGCCGGGCGGGGAGCAGAGAACCGAGCCGGGACCCCGCGCCGCGGCCCGAGCGAGGACAGCGAGCGGCGGCCCCGCCTCCTCCCCGCCCTGCACCCGCCGCCCGCCGGTCGGCGCCCCGAGCTCCCAGCGGCGCCGGAGCCGCAGCCGCAGCAGCCGCCGGAGCCGCCGCCGGAAACCGGCCTGCGCCCGGCCGGAGGTCGAAGCCTGGTCCCGGCGGCGCCCTGAGCTGGGCCCGGTTCCCGCGCCGCTCATGGCGGGGCCGCGGGGCGCGCTGCTGGCCTGGTGCCGCCGCCAGTGCGAGGGGTACCGCGGCGTGGACATCCGCGACCTGAGCAGCTCCTTCCGGGACGGCCTGGCCTTCTGCGCCATCCTGCACCGGCACCGGCCCGACCTGCTGTGAGTGCCGGGTCGCAGGGCGGCGCGGGCCCGGGCGGTGGGAGGCGCCGCCCCTGGAGACCGGAACGCTGACCCTACCGCCGGGCCTCGAGCGCCTGGCGGGTCACGGAGCGCCCTTCACCCGGGGCACCTCTCCCCTCTAGGTCTGTCTGGCTCCGCCCCCTGGGACACTGAACCCACCCCCAGTGAGGGTCCGTCCGCAGGGGGGCCTGGCCACGCCCACTGGGCTCTGATTCCGCTGAAGGGTCACTGAGTCCCCGGACGCCTTGACTCTTTGAAGGGGCACGAGCCCTCTTTGGGGCCCCGGGCCTTATCTGCACTAAACTCTTCTCAGGTTCACTGAGCACCCCCTCCTCCTGGGGGCACTGGGGCCTGTTTCCTCTGGGGTTGGGGACTACTGTTTTGAATGCAGTGAACCTCTCGTCTCTGATTCCCCGAAGCCATCTTGTCTCCAGGGCACTAGCACAGTGCCTAGCCCAGAGGCGGGATGAATGGATATGTGCCTTCCCACTAGGGCACACACGTGCCATCCCCAGTTGTGTGCCCTGTGCCCTCTGTCTTAAGTGGGGCATGGAGGCTAAGTGGAGTCTCTTGGGGTCCGATTGACAACCACCAACAGGCTGCTCCAGCTTGTGAAATGGCCCCTTGTGCCCCAGCTGCCCAGTGAGGTTCTCATGGGAAAATTTATTCAGGCCCCCAGAGCAGTTCACAGGAGCTTATGTCTCAGCTCCCTCTGCCTTGGACCCAGAACCTCTTCCATTCATTCATTCATTCATTCATTCATTCATTTATTCATTCATTCACTCATTCATAAGGAACTGAGTGAAAGTTTATCTGGTGCCTGCCATTCCTTGTGCTTCCAGCCTCAAATGCAAATCAGGAACAAGACTTTCGGTCTTTGCCTTCTTGCCAGCAGTCCCTGAGCCTGGCAGGGTCTGGAGCCTTTCTGTGTTCCACTACAGGCCTGTTCTCCCCAAGGACAGCACCTGGGAGGTCTTTGATGAAGGAGAGAAGCAAGGAAAGTGTTGCCTCAAGGATTCCGTGGTGCACATGCGCTTGACTTACTCTGTACCATGTGGTACAGTGTCTGTGGGTGGTGGGTTGGCCTTCTGTTGTGCCCTGGGAGGAGAGGGTTTTGGGGAGTATGCGCGCAGAATGAACGAGATAAGGCAGAGATGTGTAGGTGGGCCGCTGCCTGCTGTGGGGCATGTGACAACTGCAGTAGTAGAGGCACGGGGTGGGAGTGCTTAGGAGCAGGGGCTTGAAGGATGGAGGAGAAAGCACCTGGATAGGACCCATGCAATGGAGTGGAGGGCCTGAGGGCTCTTCTATTTTGGCTAAGGGGCAGGTGATGAGGCAGGAGGCAGGGGACAGGGCCACTGTGTGAAGGGATTTGGGTGTCCAGCTAAGCCATGTGGTGGAACTGACCCTGCCAGCCTCAAAGTGCAGGATGCTTGGTTTGCATTGAGCCTCTCCATGTACTTGGTGTGTGACCTTGGGTAAATCATTGCCCCCACCCCACCCTCCCTCTCGCCCCCCATGCATCAGCTTCCTTATTGTAAAGTGGGATTGATAATAAGACCTACCTCACAGAATTGTCGTGAGCTTTAAATGAGGTAATGTGCATCCAATTACCATTAGTTATTTTAAGTAGTGTTATTAGGCAGCAGGGGAATAATGAAAGCATCTTATTCTTTCATTTATTCAACAAGTATTTACAGAGCCACTGCTTTGTGTTAGACACTGCCTGGTAATAGAGATAGTAACCAACAAAGAGACAAACCCCACACAGTCTCCCATGGTCTGTGGGGGGGAGCAGATGTGTCAACAGTGATGATAACTCCATGGGGGATGTGCTATGTCAGAGGCCGGGGTGGGCACCCCGGAAGGAGACGCCCCAAGGCTGGCTGCACTGGAGAGAGGGAAGCTCCCACATGTCACATAGTCTTTGAGGAGATGGCAGGAGTCAGGTGAGGGCCTAAGGAAGGGCCTTCCAGGCACATGGGGCCACCTGAGCAGAGGCACAGGGAGTGAGCACTGCTGAGCCCATAGCATGCAGCAGGGAGGCCGGGAGATAAATGGCTGGGCCAGCCTGCCTGTGCCTCTTGCTGGCTAAAGAGGGTGGATGGGGCCATAGGGAGCCATGTGGGTTTTAAGCAGGGAAGGGATGTGGCCAGAGGAGATGTGGAATGGAGAGGCAGTTGCCTTTCTGAGAAGAGATCCAGAATCATGTCCAGATACTCATTTGCAAGGTAGGCCAGTTTCCTGGCTGCCAGCCCATTGCACAGAAGAAAAACTGAAGGCCGGGTCCCACATACGGCATAGAGAGGGCCTCAGCAATGGATGGGGAATCTCCCTAAAATGAGGCGTGGAGTAGTGTCCGAAGGCAAGGACCAGCTTCTAAGGTAGTTCAAGCTCCTGGAGCTATGGGTCCTGCCTCTGCTGCCATGGTGAGGGGCTGGTTCATTGCCTGCCTCCCCCCTCAGTCTGGGCATCTTTAAGCTTCTTGAGGGTAGGGACCATGTGGGTTTCATTTTTGTGTCCTTCATCTCCCCCAGAGCCAAATAGAACTTCCTGGGCCTTTGAAAACTGTCATAAAATATCTGTTACCAAGCGCAGATGTTGGTTAGGGACACAGATGGGGGTAGGGAAAGAAACTGGAGGAAAAATTGTAGTATCTGGAGGGCCTTTACAGTTTTCACACTGTTTACAGCATTTATCCATTCATAAACATTTACTGAGCCCCTACTAAGTGCTGAGAACTGTGCAGGGTGTTAGGGGCACAGGGTGAAGAAAATGTGACCCCAGACTTCCCAGCCCGGGAGACTGAAATAAACTGCCAAGACAAGAAGCTTCTGTCTCATTTGGTCTTGGAACAAGCTTTTGTTGGAGGCTGGGCTGGTGTCCCCTTGCCCATTAGTAGTGTCAGAGACCAAGGAGACTGAGGTTTAGAGAGGTGACACGGCTTGCTTAGGGTCACACTCTCAGGCAGTGACAAAGCAAGGGGAGTCAGGGGCCCCGATGAGGGGAGAAGGCAGCAGCCTGGCCAGAGGTGCAAAAGGGGCCTGAAGCTTATACATAGTCAGCTTCCCTCTCTCCAGTGCAGCCAGCCTTGGGCCGTCTCCTTCCGGGGTTCACAAGATACCCTTTCCTGCCTCTGCCCACGGCTCATCATCCCTGGACTCTGCCGGGACAGGTTGAGGGCAGGAGGAGGGTGTGCTTGCCCATTCCTGTACAGCAGTGAGGCCTGCCCTTCGCCACTCCCGGACGCAGCCAGTCCTCCTCACTAGCCTGGGAGGTGGTACTAGAGCTTGCCCCGATTTGCAAGGACTGCTAACCTGCTCAAGGTCATGCAGGCCGGCCTGGAAGAGCAGGGCCTGGGGCCCAGACCTTGGAGGCCATGTGGCCTGCTTCTGCCTCTCGGCCCATGGTCTCTGACAGTTAAGACTGCAGTTTTCAGCCATAGAAGGGCAAGGCTTGGGCAGTGCACCCGGGAGGCAGCCCAGAGGCTGGTTTTAGTCACTTTAGCAGCCTGGAGCATGGAGGGGAGGAGAGAGGTAAATAAAGCTAGCAGGCTGGCCAGCTGTCCCCTCCTAGGGTTCCCCAGGCAGGCCCTGCCATCTCTCACCTGTCCCATCCTAGAAACTGGGAAACCCTTCTCTGCTTCCCGAAGGGAAGTTGCCCCCAGAAGTGGCCTGGCAGGGTTGGCTAGCTGTTCAAGTGTGGAGTACAAGTCTGGTTCCAACTTTTCCTACTTCTGGCCCCACTAAAAAAGCCATTTATCTTTGGGCTGGGTTGGGGATTCAGCAGGTTGGTGTGGCTTCCCTGGGTTTGTGATTATGTGAAGGGCCAGAAGTGGATTCTCAGGGCTGGGTGGCTTCCTCCTCCAGACCTCATCTGTAAAATGGGGTAAATGCCTGCCAAATAGAATTGCTATGAAAAGGTATATTCAAGACAGAAGCTTAGCACAGAGCCCAGCATGAGGCCAGCAGCCTCTGGCTGGCTCTGTTCTCACCAGCCTCAGGCCTGGCCTTAGTTTTGTCTTTGTCACTGACTCAGGACATGGCTTCCTGGCTTCCTGGGGCAGAGTACCCAGAATCCCAGTGAGGGGAGGGACCTTAAATTCGAAAGCTTGAACTTGAGCCTTGCCCCTTCTGAGTGATTTCTAGCCTCTGCTTGGATGCCTCAGGGGGCCATAAGGCCACCTTCTGCCTCCACCTGGCAGTCCCCGTGCTATAAACACATGCTCATTGCCTCAGTTTCCTCCTCCCTGAACCCCGCTGTGGCCCAGGCTGGCTGGAATGAGGTCACCTCTGCTCCTTCGGACCCGACACCCCTGCGCCACGCACCTCAAAGCTCCTCCTCCCCTTTGCCTCTTACAGAGATTTTGATTCACTTTCCAAGGACAATGTCTTGGAGAATAACCGTTTGGTGAGTCCCCAGGCAGGAGAGGCTGTCTGGGTGGGTGGGTGGGTGGGTGGGAGGGCGCTGAGGCAAGGGGCTCCTGGGCCGGCTCCCTGAGGAGCTGCCTTGCCTTGGGCCCTGACAGTTCCTCTCCCCACCCCCTGCACCCTTCCGGCCTGCCTGGGCTCAGAGCACCAGGCCTCCTGCTTTGTGGGGGCCAGAGCTGAGGGGAGCCCACAGTCCTGGTCCTCTCCATCCCACCCAGGGAAGCTGCGCCTAGACTGAGGGGCACCCACTAACCTTGCCTCCTCCTCCCCTTCCTGCTGTGGCTGCTTTTGCCCCCACCCCCTGCCCCCCACCCCCGGCCCCGCCATGGCTCCCCGCTCAGGCTTTTGAAGTGGCCGAGAAGGAGCTGGGGATCCCCGCTCTCCTGGACCCCAGTGACATGGTCTCCATGAGTGTCCCTGACTGCCTCAGCATCATGACCTACGTGTCCCAGTATTACAACCACTTCGCCAGCCCCGGCCAAGGTGAGATGGGGACGGCCCTCCAGGGAGTCTGGCCCTGGGGACGGGGCTGGGGCTGCTGGGCCGCACTGCTTTCCGAGCTGTAGACAGCAGCCTGGAAGCAGCCCATGGTTTATTCACTGACCATTCATTCACTCATTGAATATTTATTGAGTAGAACAGCACTGTGCTGGGCCCTGCAGGGACAGCTGCGTTGGAGACCGCTGCCCTCCTGGGGCTCCCATTTTTGTGGGCAAAAAACTGATCACAGAGCAAAATAACGTCAGAGACCAAGCAGGGCAGGTTCGTCTGCTGTCTGTGAGTTCACCTCTCTGACATCCACCTTCGCTTCCTGTTTGCAGACACTTCCCTGGATTTTTTTTTTTTCCCTCCAGTGGGGAACTGGCCCTGTGGGGCTGTTGTGCAGTTTCTTCCCCAGAAATGACCTTCAAGGCCTCAGAACTGAGAGGCTGGGGAGCTAGGGGAGGGCGGGGGCTACAAGGGTCCTTCTCTGCTCTCAGTCAGGTTCCTGGGTTGTATAAATCCTGCCTGGGGCATTCCCATGGAGGAATCTCTCCTGGGGGCAGCTGGGCCTCTCCCGTGGAGAAGAAATAGGCCCAGAGAGGGGAAGCAAGGAGTTCAAGGTCACACAGCAGGAAAGCTGAACAGCTGGGATGAAAACGCAGGTGTCCTGACCCCTGTGCTGGGTCACTGCTGTCCACAGGTCCTGAAGGACTGGGGGCCCTGCCCTTCCTGTCCCATTTCCGTTCTGCCTCTGTTCTCTGTGTGGACAATCCAGTCCATCTCTTAAAAAAAAAGTGTTCTATGAAGTCAGAATTTTTTTTCTTACTAAAAGTAAAACATGCTTACTGTAGAAAAATTAGAACATAGAAAAGAGCATAAGAATTGAAATAGTCTGTTACCCCCCTAATAATGGTAATAGATTAATATTATAATTAAACAAATAAAATTATAAGTATTTTAGTGGAAATCAAAATGGGAATATTTCTGGATGATTAACTTTTTGGTGAGGGGAAGTAGGATGGAAATTAAAAACATGGATTAAAAATTTTTGCTCTGACATTTGCTATCTGGGTGACAGTGGGCCACCATGGTCACCTCTCTGCCTCAGTTTCTCTCCTGCAATCAGGATAAGAACAGTGGCCATCTCACAGAGTTGAGGAGCAAAAGAGAAAATGTGAACCTGTGTTTGGCCCTTACTTAGGACTCAACATTAGTATTAGTATGACTTCTTAAGTCCACTGGCTATTAGCCTGCTTACCTAGTCATAATTCAGTTTTATCTTCTGGAGGGTTCTCTTTTGCCAAACCCTTATCTCTCTCTACTGAGTTCTCCTCTAGAGGGCCACCCTTCCAGGGCCTGCGGGGTTGGTGAGGCATGGGGGCCTCTATAATATTGTCGGTGGTGTCCACTGTATTCCTGGGTCCTCCCTTGGCACCCAATGGTGAGGGCGGCCTGGGTGGGAGCAGCCCTGGGCCTACATAGGTTCTCATTGATAAAGGCACAATTTGGCCCCTAAATGTAAACCATTTTATCCCCCCTACTGCTCAAACAAAGCCGTGGTGATGTGTTCTCACCCTGGAGGCAAAGCTGGCTGCTAGCCCCCCCCCAGGTAGTCCTGTCCTATACTTTCTGGGGGCGTGCAGGGATTTTGACCGCACTTGACTTTCCCTGGACTGTATAGCTTTGGAACCTGGCCCTGGCTGAAACACCACAGCCCAGTGCTCAGTGTTCAGCTTGTGCCAGGCTCTGTGGGTTCCAGTGACCCTGGGCATATCAGCTGTCCCATGCCCTCCAGGAGCCCGGTGTGGCCTGGGTCTAGAGTGTGAGTGAGGGAAACCTAATGGCTGTGGGAAATCAGAGGAGGGGCTCCTGCCTCCACAGGGTCATCAGGACAAATTCAGCCTCTCAGTGGGGCCCTTGGGGGCCTCTCCCCACTTAGCTTAAGCCACTCGCTGCCTGGACTGGAGTCATACTGAATTTCTTATGCTTCTTTGAATATATCACAGTCCTTCTCTGCTAAGCCTTTCTTCTTGGTGGTCCTCCAGCCCAAACTCTACTTCCTGTCCCACCTTTCCCACCTCTGGCACATTCTTTCCTCTACCTCTTACAGAGATTTTGATTCACTTTCCAAGGACAATGTCTTGGAGAATAACCGTTTGGTGAGTCCCCAGGCAGGAGAGGCTGTCTGGGTGGGTGGGTGGGTGGGTGGGAGGGCGCTGAGGCAAGGGGCTCCTGGGCCGGCTCCCTGAGGAGCTGCCTTGACTTGGGCCCTGACAGTTCCTCTCCCCACCCCCTGCATCCTTCCGGCCTGCCTGGGCTCAGAGCACCAGGCCTCCTGCTTTGTGGGGGCCAGAGCTGAGGGGAGCCCACAATCCTGGTCCTCTCCATCCCACCCAGGGAAGCTGCGCCTAGACTGAGGGGCACCCACTAACCTTGCCTCCTCCTCCCCTTCCTGCTGTGGCTGCTTTTGCCCCCACCCCCTGCCCCCCACCCCCGGCCCCGCCATGGCTCCCCGCTCAGGCTTTTGAAGTGGCCGAGAAGGAGCTGGGGATCCCCGCTCTCCTGGACCCCAGTGACATGGTCTCCATGAGTGTCCCTGACTGCCTCAGCATCATGACCTACGTGTCCCAGTATTACAACCACTTCGCCAGCCCCGGCCAAGGTGAGATGGGGACGGCCCTCCAGGGAGTCTGGCCCTGGGGACGGGGCTGGGGCTGCTGGGCCGCACTGCTTTCCGAGCTGTAGACAGCAGCCTGGAAGCAGCCCATGGTTTATTCACTGACCATTCATTCACTCATTGAATATTTATTGAGTAGAACAGCACTGTGCTGGGCCCTGCAGGGACAGCCGCGTTGGAGACCGCTGCCCTCCTGGGGCTCCCATTTTTGTGGGCAAAAAACTGATCACAGAGCAAAATAACGTCAGAGACCAAGCAGGGCAGGTTCGTCTGCTGTCTGTGAGTTCACCTCTCTGACATCCACCTTCGCTTCCTGTTTGCAGACACTTCCCTGGATTTTTTTTTTTTCCCTCCAGTGGGGAACTGGCCCTGTGGGGCTGTTGTGCAGTTTCTTCCCCAGAAATGACCTTCAAGGCCTCAGAACTGAGAGGCTGGGGAGCTAGGGGAGGGCGGGGGCTACAAGGGTCCTTCTCTGCTCTCAGTCAGGTTCCTGGGTTGTATAAATCCTGCCTGGGGCATTCCCATGGAGGAATCTCTCCTGGGGGCAGCTGGGCCTCTCCCGTGGAGAAGAAATAGGCCCAGAGAGGGGAAGCAAGGAGTTCAAGGTCACACAGCAGGAAAGCTGAACAGCTGGGATGAAAACGCAGGTGTCCTGACCCCTGTGCTGGGTCACTGCTGTCCACAGGTCCTGAAGGACTGGGGGCCCTGCCCTTCCTGTCCCATTTCCGTTCTGCCTCTGTTCTCTGTGTGGACAATCCAGTCCATCTCTTAAAAAAAAAGTGTTCTATGAAGTCAGAATTTTTTTTCTTACTAAAAGTAAAACATGCTTACTGTAGAAAAATTAGAACATAGAAAAGAGCATAAGAATTGAAATAGTCTGTTACCCCCCTAATAATGGTAATAGATTAATATTATAATTAAACAAATAACATTATAAGTATTTTAGTGGAAATCAAAATGGGAGTATTTCTGGATGATTAACTTTTTGGTGAGGGGAAGTAGGATGGAAATTAAAAACATGGATTAAAAATTTTTGCTCTGACATTTGCTATCTGGGTGACAGTGGGCCACCATGGTCACCTCTCTGCCTCAGTTTCTCTCCTGCAATCAGGATAAGAACAGTGGCCATCTCACAGAGTTGAGGAGCAAAAGAGAAAATGTGAACCTGTGTTTGGCCCTTACTTAGGACTCAACATTAGTATTAGTATGACTTCTTAAGTCCACTGGCTATTAGCCTGCTTACCTAGTCATAATTCAGTTTTATCTTCTGGAGGGTTCTCTTTTGCCAAACCCTTATCTCTCTCTACTGAGTTCTCCTCTAGAGGGCCACCCTTCCAGGGCCTGCGGGGTTGGTGAGGCATGGGGGCCTCTATAATATTGTCGGTGGTGTCCACTGTATTCCTGGGTCCTCCCTTGGCACCCAATGGTGAGGGCGGCCTGGGTGGGAGCAGCCCTGGGCCTACATAGGTTCTCATTGATAAAGGCACAATTTGGCCCCTAAATGTAAACCATTTTATCCCCCCTACTGCTCAAACAAAGCCGTGGTGATGTGTTCTCACCCTGGAGGCAAAGCTGGCTGCTAGCCCCCCCCCAGGTAGTCCTGTCCTATACTTTCTGGGGGCGTGCAGGGATTTTGACCGCACTTGACTTTCCCTGGACTGTATAGCTTTGGAACCTGGCCCTGGCTGAAACACCACAGCCCAGTGCTCAGTGTTCAGCTTGTGCCAGGCTCTGTGGGTTCCAGTGACCCTGGGCATATCAGCTGTCCCATGCCCTCCAGGAGCCCGGTGTGGCCTGGGTCTAGAGTGTGAGCGAGGGAAACCTAGTGGCTGTGGGAAATCAGAGGAGGGGCTCCTGCCTCCACAGGGTCATCAGGACAAATTCAGCCTCTCAGTGGGGCCCTTGGGGGCCTCTCCCCACTTAGCTTAAGCCACTCACTGCCTGGACTGGAGTCATACTGAATTTCTTATGCTTCTTTGAATATATCACAGTCCTTCTCTGCTAAGCCTTTCTTCTTGGTGGTCCTCCAGCCCAAACTCTACTTCCTGTCCCACCTTTCCCACCTCTGGCACATTCTTTCCTCTGTATCTGCTGATCCTCACATTTTGCCTCCTCTAAGCAGCCCCCTGATGTATACCCCAGGTATTCTTGTAGACCCCTGCCCCGCAGTGCCACGTAAGACTCTGGTCATGATATTTTGATTGCTCATCCCTCTTCCCTTCAGACCGTCTCTGTCTAGATCACAGCTATGTAGCCCCAGCATTTGGCACTTACATATTCGTCTAACAAATATTTATTGAGCCCTCCTGTGTGCCAGGCACTTGGCTAGTGCTGGGGAGACAGCTGAGAATGAGACAGACTCACAGTCTAACTAGTTACCTTGCAGTCTAATAGGCAGGGGAGGGAGAGAGAGACAGATTAGTAAGTAGTACAATTTCATGTGAGTCCAATGAAGGAAAAAAAATAAGGTAATGGGATCAGGAGAGTGGGAGGAGGAAGTGGCTACTCTAGAGTAGTAGTCTGGGAGGGCTTCTCTAAGGAGGTGACATTTGAGCTAATCCTTGAACAAGAAGAAGGTGGCCATGTGAAGTTCTGGGGAGGAATATTCCAGGCAAGGGGGCTGTAGGGGGCCTGTGTGCTTCAGGGGAGTGAAGGGGGAGGAGATGAGACGGGGTGGTGGGGACGGGACTTGATTAGGCTGCTGGGCTTCCTAAAGTTTTGACCATAACTCATGGTAAGAGGTACATTTCCCATCACAATCCAAGTTCATGCATGTGTATGTAACTGAAACAAGTTTCAGGAAACGATTCTTCCCCTTATAACATGGGATGCATGCAGATATTGTCTGTTCTATTTCATCTTTTAAATGTGCTGGTTGCAGTCCACTAAATTGATTTCAGGGTCCATTAATGGAATGTGACTTCAAGTTTGGTAAATGGTATTTTAGGTCACAGTGAGGGACTTGGATTTTATTCTTAAAATGATCTTAATCACTGGGCACAGAGTAGGTGCTCAGTAAATATTTGCTGAAGAAATGAAGGTGCAGAGTCTTGGAGGAGGGTGAGCAGGTGGGTTTCTTCTGGTATGAGGGAGTGCAGGTGGGTTCTGGGCCATACCTGTCCATGTGGCCCCAGGGAGCCAGCCCATTTTCCTGAACCTTCAGGCCAGCACCCCGTGGTTCCTTTCTTCTCTCCAGCGCCCTTACCCTGGTGGGCAGGCAGCCACCCAGTGCTGTTGGTCTGTGACGGTGGGGTTGCCATCTTACACTCACCTGCCCCTGTGCCCAGGGAGCCACTGTCCCACTTTGTGGAGGCTCAGGGGGCTTCAGTGGCTTGCCCCGGGCATGTAGCCCGGAAGTGGAGGTGTCTCCTGACCTGTTGAAGCAAGGCCTGCTCTGCCCGTTGGTATCGGGTGGCCTGCCCAAAGGCCATGGCTGCAGAGCTCAAATCTGAGGCGAGGTTGGGGCCTCCTGGACTCCAGGGTCTTCATCTGCCTCAGGGTCTCTTTCTTGTCTCTTGGCAGCTGGTGTCTCACCTCCCAGAAAGGCCCTGGCACCCTCCTCCCCGCCATCCAAAGCACCTACTGCAGCAGAACCAGGAGAGAGGGGTCAGGTACGCAGGGGTCAGATGTCTGGGGTGGACGGGTGGGGTGGGGAGCAACCGCCACTGCAGCATTCAGAGGGCATTCAGAGTCCTTTTCCCATTGTCTTTGGAAGCAGAGTCGCTGGCCAGGATTGGGGGCACACCTCAGCTTCCAGGCCCATCTTGAGGGCAGGGAGCTCCATTCCCCTTCCAGGGCTTGTGGCAGGACCAGGAGATTCAAGGCCTGGGAAGGGGGCAGAGGGCAGTCTGCAAAGTGGACTTTGCTGTCAGAATAATGACAAGATTTACACATATAATAGAACAAATACTCCCCGTGATTCCTGTTGAGACAGAGCTTTTAACTTCCCAGTGTGATTCTGCTTAGTCCTCTCAACCACCCTGGGAGGTTGGTTTATGTGTTCTGATGTACAGATGGCAAAACTGAGGCTCAGAAAGGTTCAGTGCAAGGTCTCTCAGCCTGGAAGTGGCGGTCCCACTGCCGGTCCGCTGCTCCAAGATGCTTAGAGGGGTGACACTGGCCCTTTACATCTGGATAGCACTTTGCAGTGTGCAAAGGGCTTCTCCCACCCGCTTGCAGCTGCTCCTTGCTGGAGGAGCTCCTGAGGGGTGGGAGCCTGGCTCAGGCTGGGAGCCCAGTGTGACAGGACTGATGCAGGCAGGGCTTATACAATGCCATGTGCAGGTGAGAATGCCCAGAGACATGAGCGCTCAAGGTCATGGTGCTTAGAAGTAGAGAAACTGGGATGTAAGTCTACTTCAGCTCCAGTAGGGGAGTCAGAGAAGGCAGATGAGGTGGGCCTAAGTGGACAGCCACTGTTGGGGGCAAACCTGCAGGGATAGGAGAGGGGCGAGAGTAGCTGAGGGGCAGGGGAGCTGCTGCCTTTCTGGTAGGGAGAGCCTCAGAAACTGGAAGTCAGGAATTTTGTTTCCATCCTGACTCATGACCTTCAGCAAGTCTTTCCCTCTGCTCTGGGCTTCAGTTTCCTCATCTGAAAAACAGTGACCATCTCCCATCCTCTGCTCCCTCGGGGCTCTGGTGAAGTACATTTCCACTGTGAAGCTTGATGCACAAGCCCCTCAGTGACTGTGGCCACTCAAGGGAGGGACAGGGGAGTGTCCTTGAACAGGGTGGGTGGTGACCATGCCACACCCACAATCTGCCCGGGTTCCCTGCAGGGTGAGGAGCTCTCCGCGGACAGCCTGTCCGAGCAAGGTGCCCTCCGGACCCCCAGCAGCACGTGTGCAGCCTGCCAGCAGCATGTCCACCTGGTGCAGCGCTACCTGGTGGAGGGCAAGCTTTACCACCGCCATTGCTTCCGGTGAGTGGCAAGGGAGCCTGGGGACAGGGCACGTGTTCCTCAGCACCCCAGTACCAAGTGGGAGCTCCCATGCATCCAGCGCCACTGGGTGCCAGGCACATTGCCAAGCTCTTCATGCCAGAGCATCCTGCTTATCCCCACTTTACTGAGATCAAACTGAGGCCTAGTGAGGGGTGAGGATTCGCACAGTCACATGATTAGAGACCAAGCCAAGCTCAGGGATTCTGCCCCCAGTACCAAAACTCTTTGAGGCTAACTACCTGATGATGGATAAGGAGCGGCTTTAAAAACCATTGAAAAAAGAAAGGATTAAAAAAAAAATCACAGTAACAACCTGCTTTCAGTGTGTGGCTCCCAGGGAAAGCCACGTTCAAAGAAAATGGAGTAGGAGGCAAGGAAAATACAAATGTATGAAAACATTTTATATGTTACAAAAAAATAAATCAGAAGAGAAGTAGTCAAGGGAAGCCGTGACTGAGTTAGAACGTGCGTCCGGTCATGGGTTAGTGTGTGTACGTGTGTGGCTGCAGTGAGGAGTCGGGGTTGGGGGGTGGGAATCTCAAGGACGGGGACCATGACATCAGCACAGTCATGTCTGGCCACCAGAGTAGTGTTTTAAAAGTTTTTTTTATAGTGACTGTCCCCACCCACCATGTAAAAAATACATTTGCCACTGTGACCTTTTCTAAATATATACTGGGAATAAAATTTATATAAATAGATCCACAACTAGAATTGAAGTTTTATAAAACAATATTTATCCTTCCCAGTGTGATACACTGTGATATATTGTATCTTACTCTATTTAACAAAAAGCAAAACAAAACAAAAAAAGTCCTGGTTGGTTGAAAACCACTAAATTGACTTCCGGAGCCACTGATGAGTGACAGCCCGCACGCTGGAGGACACCTCTGTGGCGGGAGGGGGACCTTCCTTCCTCTTGCAGCCAAACTGAAGGCATGTTTCACAATTTCTGTGGCTGATTTCATGTGATTTTATTGTTCCACGATGCTCCTGACAGTTACCATTTTCCTTTTCCTCCAGGAAGTCCGGGGTATTGAGACAGGACCCAGGCTGGCAGTGGGAGGAGGGGAGGGAGGGAACAGCCTTGGCCACTGGGGGTAGAGTGGCCAAGTGCCCAGACTGGCTAAGTTGAACCTCCTCACCCCAACCTTCTCCCTGGCAGGTGTCAGCAGTGCTCCAGCACCCTGCTGCCCGGAGCTTACCGAAGTGGGCTTGAGGAGGGTACCTTCATGTGTGCAGAGCGCTGCACCAGGCTAGGCCCTGGGGGGTGGTCAGGGGCCAAGCCTGGGCTCCCCGGGCAGCCAAAGCAGCAGCAACTTGCAGAAGAAGCCAAGGCTGTGGAGGGGGGCAGCCCCAGCCCTAGCGTGACTACAGGGCCTGAGGTGGACATACCCAAGGCCAGCCCCGAGGCCCGGCCCCAGGTCCCCACCAAGCCCCAAGTTCCAGGCAAACTGCAGGAGCTGGGTAGCTCCCCGGCTGGCCGCCCCACGCCTGCCCCCAGGAAGGCCTCTGAGAACACGGCCCTGACGCCCCCGACGCCCCGGCCCCGGTCCAGTCTGCAGCATGAGAATTCGGGGGAGCACGGTGGCAGCAGCAGCCTGGTGAACGGTGAGCAGGCATCCCACTGAGGCCAGGCACTGGCTGGGGTGTGTCTGCTGTTAAATGTGCATGTGCACTGGCAGTATTTGTGGGCCGTGCTGTCTGTGCCTGTACGTGCTGGGATTGCCTGTGTGTCTGAGGTTACTGATTCCTGAAACAAATAGTTACCATGGCCTCTCTGTGCCGTGCCAGTGCTCTATTCTGGGAGAACGAAGCAGACACAGCTCTCTGCCCCAGGGCTGCCCCATTCTGTGTGTTGGGTGTTTGTGTTCTTCTGTGTCTTTCTTGTGTGCTTTGGTTTTGGGGTGTGTTAACGAGTACACACTGTGTGTGCCTATGTCCCGACTCTCTGGGACTCTGTGTGTCCTGGCCAGTCTGAGAGTGCACACTCCAGGTGACCTCTCTTTCACACCCAGCTTACGTGCTTGTCCACGTCTGGAAGTTTGGTAGGGGAGAGCCCTGGGGGCAGGGGAGGGTGTGTCCCTGTGGGTGGGCCCCTGAGGGTTCTCTCCAGGCTATTCTGAACCACAGTGGAGGCCCTGCCCTGGCCGACCCAGCAGAATGACCTCCCTGGTCTCCGTGAGCTTGTGGAATGAAGGCTCCTTGTAACCTGAGTTGTTCTGGGCCACATTTCTCCTTTGGCTAGGGAAGAAGGTCAGGTTAGGGAAGGTGGAGGGAGGTGGTCTGGGGGAGAGAGGCTCCCAGGTCTCCCTCTGGGACTTGTTGGGTTCTGTCCTGCACTCACAAAGGCCTGCTCTGAGCCCAGCCCTGAGCTGGGTGCTGGGGATAGTGCCCGTCTCGAGGTGGAGACGGGCACAGACGCAGGGCTTTCGGTAGAATGTGAAAGTCTGTTAAGATGGAGGAAGCAGAGGCTATTGTGGGAGGCAGAGGAAGCCTCCAGGAGGAGGTGACCCCGGGACTGGGTTGGGACAGCTTTTCCTGTCCACATTGGGAAGTGTTTGAGGGACACTTGGATTCCCCCTTCTCAACTGAACTGTGAATGGGGTCTCCAGCTGTCCTGGCCTCACCCTACTGCTCTTTGCCTGCTGCATGTGGTGTTTATCTAATCTCCCTGAGTGCTGGGCCAGGGAGGTGCAGGGGTGCAGATGGCATTGCCATGGCCGCCTGGAGTCCACGATCTGTCAGGACGCCCTGGCTGGCTCCCCGGGTGCTACACTCTGCTGCCCACGAATGCCTGTCTGTCTCTCCTTTCCCTCTAGGAAGGCTGCACGAACCCCCTGTCCCCAAGCCAAGAGGGACGCCCAAGCTGTCAGAGAGGTAGGCTGGCCCTGAGAGGCTTTCCTGGTGGCAGGAGTAGGAACATTCTTGGGGGCCTGGTGGGGGACAAGGCTTCCTACGGGCACGTGACCCACCAGCACACCCTCCCGAGGATGGGCAAGGCTCCTGCGTGGGGCAGAGCACGGTGCCCACATCCACTTCCCGAGGCTTCTCTGGGATCCCCCCTCCTGTGGGCAGCAGGGGATTGTGGAGATGGCTGCCTCTGGAGCCCCTTCACCCCTCCAAGCTGCTGCTGCCTATGTCCTGTGGGAGACCCAGGCCTTGCTCAGGAGCTGCTGTGAGAATTAGTAGCCTAGCATAGAAGGACCCAGAAAAGCTCAGCTGTATACCTGGCTCGGGTCCTCTAGCCTGGGGCTGTGCATCCCAGGTGAGGACGGGAGTTCCCAGCTGTTCTTTGGAGCAGCTGTGCTGCCCGTGTGCTGCTCTGTGAGGGACAGGGGCAGACCACAGCTGTGATAGGAACGAATGCTCAGCGAGCGTTTGCTGTGTGCCGGCGCCATGCCTGTTGGGTCCTTACAGTGTCCTCGTGAGGTGAGGGTTATTGTCCCCATGCCATGGGGACGAGACTGATGCAGAGAGGCCAGGTGACTTTCTTAGTGTCACACAGGGAAGGAGGCCTTTGTGGGTCCTTTCTTGGGCTGGGCTAATGGAGGCTGTGTGATGTGAAGGGTCCCCCTCTCTGGGTCTCAAGGGGCCCAGCTGGGATGTGACTGGAACTGCCCATTTCAGCCTTGGGCACAGACTGGCCCCACTGGACTGGGGGTGGGAGAGGAGAAAGGTGCAGTGTCTCATCCCCCCTTTGAAATGGACCCAATATTATCCAGAGAGAGGACACAGTCCCCTTTGCTTCCCAATGGTTTCTGCCTCTTCCTGACTCCCTCCAGGACGCCAGCCCCCAGGAAGGACCCCCCATGGATGGCACTGGTGCAGGCAGAGACAAAGAAGAAGCCTGCCCCCCTTCCCCCCAGCAGCAGCCCCGGGCCGCCGAGCAGGCAGGTGGGGAATGGAGGCACAGAGGAGGTGGCCGGGCAGAGCCCACCAGCAGCAGGCCAGGAGCCCAAGGCCTACAACCCCTTTGAAGACGAGGAAGAGGAGCCCCCAGCCGCGCCCAGCCTGACCACAGGCCCTGCCCTGGCCTGCCCCGAGCCCACACCCAAGTCCCTGCACCCTTGGTATGGCATCACCCCCACCAGCAGCCCCAAGACAAAGAAGCGCCTTGCCCCCCCAGCGCCCAGTGCATCCCCGCTTGGTGAGTGCTGTGCCTGCGATACCTTCTGCCAGCCAGGACTCGGGCACTGGGTGCCTGGGTCAGCCCAGGGCTGAGGAAGGCCACGTGGTACACAGGATCCCCTCTAGGCAGGCGCTGTGTGTTTCATGTGTCATCTCATTTAGTCCTAGAGCAAACCTGTGAGGTAGGCAGCACAGCCCCATTTTGCAGGTAAGGAAACTGAGGCACAGGGAGGCTAAGTGATTTAGCCAAGGTCACACAGCACTTAAACAGCTGAGGCAGGATTTGAACCCAGGCTCCCGACTCCATACTCTTAGTCCTTTGTAAGTCCCCTCACAGGGCTTTTTTTTAAAAATTAAGGTATCATTGATATAAAATCTTATGAAGGTTTCACATGAGCATCATTGTGGTTACTACATTCGCCCATATAATCAAGTCCCCCACCACCACCCCATTGTAGTCACTGTCCATCAGCATAGTAAGATGCTATAGAGTCACTGTTTGTCTTCTCTGTGCTGTACTGCCTTCCCTGGGACCCCCTATATTATGTGCCCTCACTGGGCTTTTGTGAGAATGAAAGGTGTTAGGCAGTGACGTGTTGAGCATCGAGTTGGCTCAGAAGCACGTGGGAAGGTTGGCTTGAATCCTGTCCTTCCAGTTGCCATCCTGCAGGCACCGGATGCCCACACCCTGACCTGGCTGTGACGTTGGCCTAGCGACTGAGCACCTCCTTCCTTGTGTCTGTCCTCAGGCTCCTCACCTGAAAAATAGTGGATATTGGCTCCAGGGCCCTGTGCCCCCCTCTGCCAGTAGTCCCTCTCTTATCCAGGCCTGTTGTATTTTTGCCTCTCACTGTCTTACAGTTTTCTTAAGCCACAGGCTCTGTGACCGTCCATCATGGCTGGGGTCCAGCTGCCTCCAGGACCTTGTGGGATCCCCTCAGACAGTGGGGCTGGGCGCATGTCAGAGATGACCAGCGGCAGGTGCTCAGGTGGCCCGGGGTCCCTGCTCTGGCCCCTGCCGGAGCCCTGGGACCCTGTAGCTGATTGTGGTCAGCCTAGTGGAGATGGTGGGTGGGTGCGGGATGCGGGCAGAGGGGTGAGCCCCGAGTCAGGCACAGCTGGGTGGGCACGTGCCTCCTCCTTGGTGGGTCTGTTGTTTCATCTGGAAAACACAGACAGTGCATGTCTGAAGCATGGTGTCCATCACCCACCGGCCACTGCGGGGGTGGCCCACTCCTCCCCTCCCCGTCGCCTTCCCTCCCGCCTCTGCTCTGGGCTCGGGAGCAGAGGAGAGGCCGGCTCAGCTCTGGTTGTCTGCTCTCCCCACCCTGGCAGACTTGCCTCTTCAGTGAAGCCTTGCTTTGGCTCAGATCAGACATGGGAGGGGAGGAGGGGGCAGCGGCCGTGCTGGATGAGGGGTGAGCGGCAGTCAGGAAGCCCGGGGCCTTGGATGAGGGGTGCCGGAGCAGGAGCTCCTGGGATGGACGTGGATGGTTCGCCCACTATGGGGCGCGGTCCTCTCATGCGTTTGCTATTCCCTTGGCCCTGGCCTCGCCTGTACATGGGAGGACTTGGGTTTCCAGGGCCACCTGCAGCTCTGCTGAAAGTGGAAAGCGTTAGGCGAGGCCAGGAGCCCTGACTGTGCCCGTCTGGTGGCGCCCACTTGCCCATTTGTTTGTACAGCTCTCCACGCCTCCCGCCTCTCACACTCAGAGCCACCATCAGCTACCCCATCACCAGCCCTCAGTGTGGAGAGCCTGTCGTCAGAGAGCTCCAGCCAGACCCCCAGTGGGGACCTCCTGGAGCCACCAGCTGTGCCCAAGAGCTCCTCAGAGCCTGCAGTCCATGCCCCAGGCACCCCTGGGACGTCTGCCAGCCTCTCTGCCAGCTCTTCCCTGGCCTCCTCTGGGGAGCTGGTGCAGCCCAGTGTGGACCAGACACCTCAAGCGAGCTCTGGCCTTGCCCCCAGTCCTAGGGGCAGCCTGGGTCCTCAGCCAGCCAAGCCCTGCAGTGGCACTGCCCCCACACCTCTCTTGTTAGTTGGAGACAAGAGCCCCGTGCCTTCTCCTGGAGCCTCATCCCCACAGCTCCAGGTAAAGGTGAGTGCCTCAGCTTTGTTGAAAGCTGCTGTCTTGTCAAGTGAATGGGAGTTCGGTCTCAGGGCAGGAACATCCCAGGCCTTCCTTCCTTGCTGGCCTATGGCTTTTTTGGTTGGCTGCGTCCATCTACCCATTCAGCGGTCCTTTCGCTGGTGTACAGATCTGTCTCCCCCTTCCTTCCATGGGCCAGCCCTCTCATCTGTCTGTTCTCCTGTCCACCTGCCATGGCCTGCCAGGGATCCATGCATCCAGGCACTTGTTTACCTGCAAGTGCTGTGCATTTGCCCACCTTGGACCCTCTCACCCAGCCACCATTCATCTGCATGTCCTCCTGTCCACCCTTCCGTTCACAAGGCCCAGTTTGTGCCTGCAGCCCCCTCCAAGGCCTGGGGCACTCCGCCTCCTCTGAGGGTGTAATGGGCATGAGTTACCCATCCTAGGGAGCTCATTTTCCAGGTTACTCTTGTGGGCTATTTGTGCACTTATTTCTCAATTCCATGCCAAGAACTGGGGATCACCAGGGGTCCGGAGGTTCGTCCGGGCACCTAGTTCCCAAGGGGGCCTCTTTTCAGCCACAGCCCCTTGGGCTGCCAGGTTCTGATCATTCGTTTTCACCTCCCAACTCTACAGCCCTCTGAGGGCCCAAGGCTCATCCAGTGCTGGGCAGAGGGGCAGGGCAGCTCACACGGGGCGGCTGTAGTTGCAATCTGACCCACTGGAAAGAGAAAAGTCTGGGGAGGGGGCTGAGCTGTTGGTCCAGCGGCTACCTGTGCGCCTTTCAGACATTAACCTTTCCTGCCTTGAGCTGCAGCCTCAGGTCCAGCTCTGCCATCCACCTGCTGTGTGGCCTTGAGAAGGCCCTGCGCCTTCTCTGGGCTTCAGGCTGCTCTGAGGAGGCCCAGGTTTTCCTGGTGGTGGGTGGTGGCAGAGGGGGTCGACTTTAGATCCCCCCGTTGCAGGCAGCTCCTGTTAAACATCTGCTTCCTGTACTGGGGGTGTGTGGAAGGTTGGTTTGAAGTTTTGTGGCTGAGAAGGCTGAGAACCCTTGAGGGCCTCCATGGCTCTGGGCTCTTTGGCCCTGCTTGGCCCATCAGAGTGTGACGGAGGTGGCAGAGCCCCAAGTGGGCTTCCTTCCATGTGTCCCCACCTCCCACCCTAACCCCAGGGTTAGAAGAGCTTCCCAGGGGCAGTGTAGGCACAGGGGTCTTGGGCAGGTGCCCTGGGGGAACCAAACCCCATCTCCCTGTCATGCCTGGCACAGGCCTCGGCATGTCCCCTGCTTCAGAAATCCCCCAACTACCAACCAGAAAGGCTCTCTCCTGGGCTGGCACAGGTGCGGTGAGCAGGCTCCCTCTTGGCTGGGAGAAGGTTGGGTAAACACTCCTGGGGGCACTTCATGGCCCCCAGTGGGGTCTCTTCATGGGGCCCATGCTGATGCCTTTGTTTCTGAGGAGCTGGGAAAGGTGGCTGGAAGGCGTTGGCATTGCCCATGTGGCAGGCAAGGTCCTGCCCCAGTGCTGGTGCAGGCATCTCCCCACAGGGACAGAAGGATGTAGGGCTGTGGGCCCACGGCCCCGGCAAAGGATGGGGGTCTTTTCTGGGCAGGGAGGGAGCCACCCTTCTCCATCTGCTGGCCAGGTGGAAGATGGGGCCCTTGCTTTCGCATTTCCTGGCTGGGCGCACTCAGCAAGGAGCTTCACCTCTCTGAGCCTGAGTGCCTGCTAGGGAAGGACTGGTTGTGAGGCCTGCATGAGCTAGTACAGCACTGTCTGTTCCTGAACTCCACGTCCTGACCACTACCCCCAGTGCTAGATGGCGGCCCCAGCCTTGAAACAGATTCTTACCCTAGCTTGGGCCCCTGGGAAGTGCTTACTTTGGGCCAATTACATAACCTCTCTGAACTTGAGTTTGCTTAGCTGTAAAATGGGCATTACAATACCCACTTTGCTGAGGGGTTGTAAGAATTCAACAAGAATCTATGAAGGTATCCAGTGACAACTCTGTTTGGTGGGTGCTGGGAAACAGAACTGTTTGCTAAATGATTGCACATCAGACACTGAACGCTGCGAGGGTCTCTCTGCCTGGGCCTCCCCGGTCCCTTTCCCTAGGGTCCAGGCCTGCTTTCCGCATGTGATCAGGCTGCCAGGGTCAAGATCCCAGACTGATCCTCTGTCATATCTCCCTGCCTCTAGTCTTCCTGCAAGGAAAATCCTTTTAACCGGAAGGCATCACCCACCTCATCCCCAGCTACAAAGAAGGCCACCAAAGGACCCAAGCCAGCAAGGCCGCCTGCCCCAGGACACGGCTTCCCACTCATAAAGCGCAAGGTATTGGCTGGGAGCTCCCAGATGCCTGGCTGCCTGGGCCCGGCTTCAGGCTTCCTGTAGAACTCTTCAAGAGGATGGGCTGTCTGCACAGTTGCCCTCAGATGTCAGAGAGGGGGCCCCTTGGGTGGCCCAGCTCTAAGGCTTAATTTGCAGCCAGATCCATCGAGCAGATCAGCTGTTCTCAAGCAAAAGTAGTGGGTGAAGCATTTAACTTGTTACTAATAATAGTTCAAGGATCAAAGCACTCACATGATACACTTCTGGCTACATAGATTAGTGTGTTCTCAAGTTTCTCTCTCTAATAGGGTCACTCTCACATTTGTCATACTGTTTCTGGAGCCCCAGAGAAAGGGGAGGGGCTTCCACAAGAGGCAGGAAGTTGTGCTTCCCTCCGAATGTACCTGTTGGTGTTGGGCCCAGGGGCATGGAGGGGTTGTTGCTGTCCCCACTGACCCTTCCCCACACTGGGATCCCACATCTGGCCACACTGGAGTGTGGGACAGAGCTGGGGCTCTGGGCCTGTGGTGCCCAATGCTGACCAGAGAAATGGTGAAGCTCCTGGCAGCAAGCGGGTGGGAGGAGTGAGCTGTTCTTTAGGTGATCAGGGCGTTGTTGAGCAGGTCCAGGCTGACCAGTACATCCCTGAGGAGGACATCCACGGAGAGATGGACACCATCGAGCGCCAGCTGGATGCCCTGGAACACCGTGGGGTCCTGCTGGAGGAGAAGCTGCGTGGTGGAATGACAGGTGCGGGAGCCGCTGGGAGGGCCTGGTGGGTGGGCGTTAGGGGTAGCAAGAGCCTCTCTTTCCCTGGTGGGGGCCCTCATTGGCTCCTCTGAGGGTGGGAGCTGCTGCCAGCCCTGACCTCAGTGGGCATCTGACTTGCAGAGGGTCGTGAGGATGACATGCTGGTGGACTGGTTCAAGCTTATTCATGAGAAGCATCTGCTGGTACGGCGGGAGTCTGAGCTCATCTATGTGTGAGTCTTCCCTCCCTTCAGTCCTGCTCCCCTCCCCAGAATCTGTAGAGCTCAGCGCAGAGAATCTTCCCTGACAGCATAGTATAGGGCAGCAATGCAAGGGCAGAATTAACAGTTGACTTATTTCTACCCCCAGCTTCAAGCAACAGAACCTGGAGCAGCGCCAGGCTGATGTGGAGTATGAACTCCGGTGCCTTCTCAACAAGCCAGGTGAGTGCAGCCACACGCACTCCTGTGGCACCTGCCCCTAGGCCTGGTGACAGGTCGAAATGGGCCTGGTTCTTCCCCTCCAGCCAGAGTGGGTAGACAGAGCCCTGCCGGCGAGGCACAGGCAGACTCCGGGAGGTCTGTCTGGGTCATAACAAGTGGTAGTCTTGAACCGTGGCAGGAGAGGGAGCAGCATGGCCAGTGTGGGGGTGTGGATCCATGTGGTGTCAGGGTGACAGGCTCGCAGAGAGCACCAGGCCCAGGAGCAGACTGGCCTATTTTGTCTGTGCCTCTCCCAGAGCATGCAGGCGGGGCAGGTCCCTGGTGGTGAGGGGCTTCAGGCTTCCAGGGGCCAGGGCTTCCCTGCCTGAGTGGGTGACAGCAGATGCCTGTCCAGAGGCAGCTCTGGGGTCATGACCGTCATGGCAGGACTTTACACGTTGGGGGAGGCAAGGTGAAGGAGCCACTGCTCAGTGTGGTTCCAGGATGACCCTGGAGGGGGCACAGGAGGGGCTCAGGATGGTGGAGGGGCAACAGGAGGGACTGGGTTTGGTCAGGTAGTCCTGTGTTCTGCCGCTAACATGCTGGTCGCAGGGGACAGGGGAGGTTTGGCAGGTTTCTTAGCCTCACTGGCCTCAGTGGCTTCAAGCCTAAGACAAGATGAAAGTACCTACCTCATGGGATATTCTGGGGACCAGGAAATAGTGGGTGTGGAAACTATAAGGCTATAGCTGTGCCCTCTGAGGGGCTGATATTGATGGTTATTTTGTGGCTGAGTTGGGGTCTGTGGCCATGACATGCAGTGAGCTGCAGCTGCCGGCCAAGACAGACCACCGGACTGTGGAGCATCGAGAGGCAGGAGCCAAGGCTCTTGACCACTTCCTATGGCACAGGCAGTATGCATTGCTGTCCCCACTTAGCAGATGAGGAGAGCCAGAAGTCTTGCCCATTGATGGTGGAACTGGGCTTCTGTTCATGTCTCTGACCTGGGCCTGGGCCTGCACACACAGCCCCTCCTGCCTGCTGGGATGGTGGTCCTGCCTCTCCACTGGGGAACTTGGGACACTGGGTGGGACCCAGAGGCAGGAGGGTCCCTGGGGAAACCACGGCACTGTGCCAGCCTTCCACTGCCGACTGTGAGTCACTCCAGCCTCTGGGAGGCTGGGGTGTGGCTGCCCCTCGAAGGGGGCCGCAGCGACACCCTGTGGCCAGAGCGAGTGCAGCACCTGGCCTATTGTGTTGCTTCTCCAGCCCTGTGTGCGGCGGCTGGATGTCCTGGGCCGGCCATGCTCTCTCAGATACTGCTTTTACAGGGTGAGACTAGTCTGTAGTGCCCCAGGTGGGTTGGAGACTCAGAAGACACCATAAGGGCTGTAGCTTGGGGGTGTCAGGCTGCCCGGATTAAAATAGTGGCTCTACCTTTGTTGTGTGATGCTGTCAGGGACTTAACTTCCCTGAGCCTTGGTTTCCCCATATGTAGATTGGGGACATAACTTATCTAGGCCCCAGATCGGGAAGTAGCAGAATAGGGTTTGAGCAAGGTGAGTGACGCTAAAGCCCATGCTGGCCCTGGAACTATGGTGGACCACCTGCTCCTGGGTTTTGGCGAGGTGAGGTGATGTAGGGGCTTGGGGCATGGCTGAGGGGGCCTCAGGGTGTTTATTTCAAGATGCAGAGGCATGTGGTAGCAGATGTGGAGGGCAGGCCAAGTGTGGGCACATATCCTGGGAGGCTGTGGGTTGGGTGAGAAGAAAGCCGAGGTGCAGAAGGCTCCTTTGGTGGTCATGATGGCTGATTTCCAGCTCTCCGGGGTTCTTGAAAGGAGGCTGGAGGGACAGGAGGTGTATGAGGCCTCAGGGACACCTGGCTGGGCTTCCTGCCTCAAAGACCCCTTCTAGCCTGCCCTCCTTCTCGGCATTGATGTCCCCATGTGCCAGCTGGGTCATGTTACTTCTCCTGCATGAGTACCTCTGGGTTCCTTGTTATCTCTCCCCCACTGTACCCCACTCTGGCCCAGCTTTTGGAAGTCGTTAGTAGGCCCAGCCCAAGTCCTGTCTCCTCCAGGAAACCACCTAATGAACATTTGTTGAATGTATGAACAGACAGAGCGCGTGCTGGTCTCTGTCCTCAGAACATGCATGTGCTGACTCTCCCAAAGCCCCCTGGAAGGTGTGTGGTAGGCAGCCTAGTATCCTCGGTCTCTTCTGTAACTTTCATTTCTCCAAAAACTTGTAATCTCCACCCATCTGAGCTCTGCCTTCCTATCCTCATAGGATCTAGCATACAGGGCTGGCCCATAGCTCCCCTTAGCATTTGCACATTGGTTCCTGGCTTCCTAGGAAGGCAGGAGGGTTTTCCCTCCCCTCATGTCCCCAACTGTTTACCTTGGGCAGAGAAGGACTGGACAGAGGAGGACCGGGGCCGAGAGAAGGTGCTGATGCATGAGCTCGTGACCCTCATTGAGCAGCGCAATGCCATTGTCAACTGCATGGATGAGGATCGGCAGAGGTAACATGGCTGGGGAGAGGGCTGTCCCCGGGGTTCCTTGGGGAAGGGACCTAGAGCAGGCTAGCCCTGCCCTTACTGCCAGCAATCCCAGCGCACCCTTGCTCCATTCTATGTCAACCTGGAGGCTGGGAGGCACTGAGAGATTATCTGCTCCTTCGTCCTGTAGGACACCCGGCTTCCCTTTCTCATTTCAGGGAGGAAGAGGAAGATAAGATGTTAGAGGCCATGATCAAGAAGAAAGGTGAGGACCCCCCTGGACTTCTGGAGGGTAGGGAGCTGGACCGAGGGCTGGAGCAGGCGCTCCAAAACTTGCAGCCTGTTTTGCTGGGAGGGCTGGGTGGCAAGGCAGGCCAGCCTACAGTCAGGAAGGCTAGGCCTGGGCTCAGAGCGTGGGCCACAAGGACTGTGGCGTGCAGGAGCATTGTCCCAGGGTGGTTTGCCTTAAACTGTGTGTTCCTCCTTGAGACCTGCAGCTGGTCTTGGGGGTGTCTGTGGGCTCAAAGAGCAGTGCTACCCAGGGACAAGATAGTGCCTGGAATGGTTAAAAGGGCACTGGACTGGGAGTCAGGAGACCTGGGTTTAATCTTGGTCCCACCAGTGACTTATTTTGCTTGGATTCCAGGCCCAGCTCTGGTCCTAGCTGGCTGACTTTGAACTAGCCACTTCAGCCCCTAGGCCTTACTCTCCTCATCTGCAGAATGTGGGTGAGTGAGGTGCCCACCACGGGCGTGTGCTGAGGATTACTGGGATAATGTGATAAAGCGCTTAGCCCGAGGCCAGGCACCTACAAAGAGTTCGATTGGGTTAGTCCATTTTAAGGCTCACATTTTCCTCGTCTATAAAATTAGGGGCGAGGACAGATAATTTCTGAGGTTTTTCTAAGCTCCGATGCTCAATACTTGTGTCGTAGCCTATAGAGCTATAAGCACTAGCCTAAGGGAACTGAGGCTTCTAAAGGTAAATTTATGCCATGCTTCAGAGTTCCCAGATCCATTTATCTCCGGGTCTTTGCCAAAACACTGGAAGGGGGAATGACTCCTATTCTATAGGCGAAGAACCAGAGGCTCAGAAAGATGATGTGATGTGCCCAGGGTTCCATGATGTGACGTGAAGAGGTGGTGAAGCTGGGCGAGCCCCCTGGCCTTTGTCACACAGGCCTTTGTCATCCCAGGCCTTTGTCACCACCCCTGGCCTACCCCAATTGTCTCCCCTTCCCCAGGCCCTAAGTACTCCCCTTTCTCTTCTGCAGAGTTCCAGAGGGAGGCTGAACCCGAAGGCAAGAAGAAGGGGAAGTTCAAGACCATGAAGGTGCTGAAGCTGCTAGGAAACAAGCGTGATGCTAAGAGCAAGACTCCCGGGAACAGAAGCTAACAACAGGGGGGGCCAGCGTGGGACCTCCCCCCTCCTGGCTCAGCCCCTGGGTTCGGCTTCGCTGGGGGCACCTTGCTTCCCTTCAGGATCAGTTGAGAGGAAAGATGACTTAAGGGGAGGGAGCCTGTGGGTGGCGGCCTCTCCCTCCTCAGGGTCCTCTGGCTGGTCTGGGCCAAAGAGTATTCTTCCCTCTTCTCTGAGCTGCAGGCAGCTGTGGCTCAGCCCTGCCTAGTCGGGTTCTGCTGTTCCAGGCGCTGTGACCGACCCCAGGAGCAAGTAGGGTCCTGCGTCCAGGGAGCGCAGCAGCTGAGCACGCCTTGCCCTTGTCCTTACCAGGACGGCAACTCCTTGGTCCGTCTTCCCTTCTGTACCACACCCAGATGGGAGTCTCAGCTGTCAGAGTTCCAGCCCGAAGGTCCTTCCACCCCGGGGTTGGCCCATGGTCGCCCTCTGGCCTTGGTCTCTTGCCTCTAGGGCTTTCCCCGTGTCAGCAGGCCAGCAAGCAGGGCTCGGCGGCACTGACTTCTTGCTGCCCCAGCCTGGCTCCGAGTCCCTGTCTTCTTTTCCAGTGTGGGCGGCCCTGAATCTTTCTCCTCACTCAGGAGCTCTATTTATGAAGTCTAATTAAGTTTGAGTTCATTACTGCATCCCTGGACATGAGGGCCTGACAGACAAACTCTCTGTCGGTCCCTCAAGGCTCTCGGTGGTGCTTCCCTCACCCTCCCTTGTTCTACAGAAACCTCACCTCCCAGGACCTGGGGCTGTGCCAGCCAGGCTTGGGTAGGCGGCACCGAGGGCCGAGTCCCCAGAGAGTGCTTCTGGAGGCAAGGCCAGTTGCCATTCTGGTCTCTGATCATCAGCTGAGGTGGGAGTGCTTCACGGAGGTGCTAATCCTGGTTCTTTAACACACTATAGGCTGATCATTCGTTTAGACTGACACCCCACTCCCGCCTCCTACCCCACCAGGCTAGGTGGCCATTGCTAGGCTGACCCCGCACACTTTCTCTTGTCCATTCTCTCCTGACCTTTTCCCACCATGTAACACTGGGATGGCTGTGGGAGAGGGGGAGCCAATGGGGACAACTGCCTTTCCCCCAGGAAATGTGCCCAGCAGTTCTTGGTCGAAGCACTGTTGCTATAAGCTACTTCTGGGGCATCTCCAGGGCCCCCATCCCTCAGCATACCTCTGGGGCAAGATCACACTGTATTAACTTGAGGATTTTCCTCACTGACAATAAATGGAGATAATCTCAGTTGCCAGTGCCCTGCAGCCTTGGGGCACTTTTCCCTCGACTAGGGCTGCCTTCTTCCCTGCCTCCAGCATGCTTCGTGGCTGGGCATCTCTGGTGGACCAGGACGGGAATGTGGGCTGTCCATGGCAGGGGCCATGGTACTCACTGCCTGCCACCAGACTGGACCCCCCTCCTCTGCAGGGAGAGGTGGCTCCCACACCTGTGAAGTCCCTGTCGGTCTCCTAAATATGTGTGCTGGCCTGCAGTTGGGGTTACCAACTCCAGGGCCTTTCAGGGGCCAGGCAGGTAACACGTGAACTGGGCTGGGTATAACTTGAGGGATGGTTCTGTTCTGTCAAGCTCTTCTCCATGTCTGGCGGTGGGGACTGGATGAACTGGAGTATCCATCCCTGTGACAGCTAAAGGGTGAGGTTCTTCCTCACTTAAGTCAACTATAGCTTGTGGGGATGTGGGTCCAGTGTTGCCAGATCTTTCCACTTTTTTCAAAAGAAGCTAGAATTCCAGATTGTGTGTGTGTAATTTGTAAATGTTGGCAACTAATCTGCTATAAATCAAGGGTGGGCTAGAAGTATGCTGGGGTTCTCTGGTGTGCTGCCTTGGGCCATATGAGGGGGCCTTGGAGGCAGAGGACGGCTGTCCGAGTCACGCTGTGCCCTCTGCCCTCAGGTTCTGGGGGACAGGCTTCTCATGGAATGTTCCTGATCAGGCCCATGATCTGGCCTTCTCTGCTCATCTGTTTGAGGCTGTAGGGCTGTGTTTATTCTGCATACCAAAACTTGGGTCACGTGGCCTGTAGGATTATATGGATCCTTCCAGGTGGGAGGATTGGTTGAAATTTCCAAAATGTTTTGATTTATGGGGGCAGAAAAATGACAGAATACCAGAGCACGGAGGGCTCGTGGCTGTCAGAAGACATGGCGAGTGCTGTGTGCCAGGCCCAGGGTCTGCTCTTGGGGCCACACGTCTCCTCGGCAGCCCTTTGCCAAGAGGCCTCACAGATGAGCAGTCAGAGCTGAGGCTGTGGTGTTGCCCAAGCCCAGGAGCACAGGCTGGGGCTGGAACTGCAAAGCCAGGACTCTTTCCGTCTGGATGCCTCCTACCCTTTGTGTTTCTGTGGGTTGTGGGTTTAGTGGAGAGACTGAAAGCTAACTTTTAATCCTGAGTAGTCTTCTTACTAGTTGAATGACCTTGGTGATGGTGTCTTAGTGGGCCTTAGTTTATGCAGGGGTAAGGAACCATCACAGAGCTTTACTGAGAGCATTAACAGAGAGTGAAATTCAGGGCCTGGCCAAGGGGTACTCAGAAGCGTTGGTTCCTATATCCACTTGAATATGCAAACAGCTAGAAACCATCTGTGCTTGAAAAATTCTAACTCTTTGAACAAATAAGCCTTATCCCTCTAAAAACAAAACAGTGTATGTAATGATTACATTAAATGTGTCTTACTGGCCAATTAATCATAGTGGTTAAATATTTGCCCAAGGTTGTAAGAAGTCAAAGAAGTAATAAGCCTTAAGACAGGGAGGGAGAAAGGAATCATATTCATTCTGAAGTTCAGAAAAATAAATGTGCAGTGCACATGGGGTGGAGGCGGGTGTGGGGGTTCCCGCTTGATGCCCTCAGACACTTGCCCAGGACTTGCACCTTGCTTTCCCTGTGCATGGGGCTCTTTCCCCAGGAAGATTATAAAGTTGTGTGTGTGTGTGTGTGTGTGTGTGTGTGTGTGTGTAAGTGACGATCGGTGACTGTGAGTCTCAGAGGCTCAGCTGACCTGGGTCCCTGGGCAGTCTTGAGGAGATGCAGTCCATTTTCTAGGGTGCTGTAATATGCCCAGGGTGCCCTAGGCTAGGGCAGTGCCGTGTGATCATATGATGTGGCTGAAGGCCAGGATGGGTGGGCTGACCTGGGGATGACCCTGCTTGGCAAAGGGGTGGGCTTCAGTGGCCAGGTGGGGCTACCCTGTCCTTGTCTCTGGAGAGAGATTAAGCAGTGGCAAGAGCCTTCCTAAGCTCCTCACTCCTCTTGTGGTCAATGTCTTCCATTTCCCGTAGTTTCTGCAAAGGACGTCAGATAAAGCTGGGTATCAGGGTATGAACTTGGGCCACCACCGATGTGAGGCCAGAGCTGGACTCCTGAAACTTCAGCCACAGCTGACCCTTTCTACTCACACTCCCAGAGGACCCATCCCTTCCGTCTTCCCTGTGCTTCCCCTACCTGGGAGATTTCAGCAAGGATGATTCCTCGGTACTGTCTGCCCTGTCCTAGGGCCTCCATGTCAGTCAGGAACTCTTTCCTCTCCTGGATTTCCTTTATCACTGGACAGGGGAGGAGGGCCGTCAGTGTGCAGGGCAGTGGGTGCTATCAGGCTCCTGGGAGGGGCAGCGGGGCTGGTGGGCTGCCTTTCTCAGGGACCAGAAGCAGTTCTGTGGTCAGAGAGTGTTTCTCACTCAGGGATCACCCCCCCACACACAGTAATTCTGGGCCCCCTCCACACACACTCCCCTCCCCAGCATGGTTGGCTGATCAGTGGTTTACGTTCTTCAAACCGGTCCGGTTCAGGGGCTGGGTCTTCCTGACACACAGGAGGCGGCTTTCTTTTCCGTTCATCTGGGTCCTTCCCAGTGGCAAAGATGTTTTGGAGTCTTCGTTTTTCTTTCTCCATGTCTCCTGTAGGGCCCAGAAATAGCCTGATTAAGGTGTGAAGGGCACCCCCATTCACAGTCTGAGTTCCCAATTGGTCACGCTTGCTCCAGGGTGCCTAGATAAGCTAGACAGGCCTTCAGAGACTCAGCACCTTCTACTCTGGGTGCTCCAGAGCTTGTCATGTCAAGATAGGCAGGAAGGGGAGGGGTTGAAAGAACCAGGAAGAGAGCTTTGTCAAAACGCACACACTGCTTAGCAAGGCTAAGGAAACTCAGTGGTTGCTACAGTGGCAGCCTGTGTGCAGAGCCTGTGTGGAGCTATAGGAAGGTCTGGGCCAAGAGTTATGTCACAGGCCACATAGGAAGGGAGACAAACGGCTCTATAAAGTAGTCTGGAGTGCAGAGAGCTCTGGATTCAAGGGACCATGTTAGCTTAAGGGAGCAGTGGCCATGAGACCTGACAGCAAACTTTCATCAGGAATTGGCAGAATCCAGTTAATTGTTAGAGTGCGAAAAAATTTTTAAAAGGATCTAACTGGTTTCCCCTGTATCCTGAACACCTCCAAGCTAATGTGTGCCAAGGCCCAAGTGCATAAGTAAGCCGCATCAGAGTTTGACTAGATGCCTGCTCACTTGTTCTGCGGGCTGCTTGTCCCCACCTGCCTGCCCCCTCATGGAGGGAGGTAGAAGAGACACCTTAGTTAAAGCCCTGTCACTTACTGGTGGCTTGCGGCTTGAATGGCTCCCGGCTGTAGGCTCCGTTGGCTTGGCATATGCTGGCAGGCCGGAGGTGGGACCGGACTGCCAGGATGGGAGGCAAGCTGATGGCCGGGGCCATCTGCCTGGAAGGCAAGACCCTCTGGTTGGATGTTGGGCTGCACTGTAAGGGCAGAGTGTCTCCTCCTGGGGAAGGAAGGTTTGAGGTGGGGACACCCACCTGGCCTTTTTTTTTTTTTATTATTTATAAAAGTTATACCTGCCTGTTACAAGTCAATCAGTACAGAAAGTCTTCCCTTCTCCCCTCCAATCCCCACCCCGCTTCCAAGCAATGGTGATAATTTGGTGGTCTAGTTCCATAATTTTTGATGCTATACAAACATGTTAAAAATATATGTGCATATGTAAGATTTGTTCTTCAAACACGGTCACACTGTATTATATTCAGTAATAGACTCTTCACTTAACAATTTATCATGGGCATCTTTCCAGATCACTCCATTTATATATAACTTATTTTTTTATAGCTGCATACTAGTTCTTAGAATGAATACATTATTCAACTAGTCTCATTTCAGAAATTTGGGCTGTTTACCTTAAAAAAGAATTTTTTTACTACAAACAATGCTGCAATAAACATCTTTGTGCATCAAGCCTTTTTAGGTGTTTTTATTTTCTATAGATGGATTCCTAAAACCTGCTTGGTCCACAGGCAGGGAGGGCACACCAATCCCTGCTACTCTCCATCTTAACTGCTTCGGCCCAGATCTGTGGCTCTGACCACAGGCCAGCCAACTGTGTTATCTGGATGCCTGTCCCCTCCTCTCAATTGCCCTAAAGCTCAGCTCGGAGGAGCCCCACCATTTCGATCCGGCCCCTGTCTACCTCTTCTACTTTTCCAGCCTTCTATCACCCACCCAGCAAATATGTATTGAGCATCTACTCTGTGCCAGGCCCAGGACACTGGGGGTAAAGTGGTAAATAGGACAAAGTTCTGCCTTCCTGGCACTTACATTTGGGGTTGGAGGGTGTGGATGATGACAAAATAAGTAAAATAGAGACTATGTTAGATAGCGACAGTGTAGGGATGGAGCACAGTATGACAGAGCAGGATTCAGAGTTTAAATAGGGTAGCCAGGGGAGGCTTATGAAGAGAGTAACATTGGAGAGAAGACTGAAAAGTGCTGAGGCCAGCTATGCAGATATTTGAGGGAAGACCATCCAGGCAGAAGGAAGAGCTAGTGCAAAAAGGCCTGGAGGTGGCGATGTGCCTGGAGTGTCTGACCAACAGCTAGGAGGCCAGGGTGCCAGGAATGAAGCGAGGAAGGGGGGACAGTGCAAGTAGACGTCTGAAGTCAGGGAGGGCAAGTGCAGGGTTGTGTACTCATATATGTTGTGCCAGGACTAATGTCGGGGGAAGAAACAGTTCCCCAGGAGCAAGGGTCAGAAATACTATGCAATTTTTTGGTCTTTTTAAATGAGGTTCCCAGCCCCTTAACAGGGAGGAGCATTAAAAACGTCTTCCAGAATCCCTGTGCCTGGGAGAGCTCCAAGCACTGCCTCTTACTTTTCATGGTGTCCATGATGTGGCGCTGTTGGAAGTTAGTCAGTTTGGATTCCTTCATCATCACTGCAAGATAAAGCACTTCTGTGAGGCCCCCTGGCCTGCAGGCAGATGCTTTCCTCTCAGCCCACTCCAGTGTGAAGTTGTGTCATGTCCTAACCCAACCCCATTCTGCGCCTAAGTACTCCTCTGCCCTTCCTGCTTCATTTTTTTTTTTCTATAGGACTGATCCCCATTTAAAGTCTATACATTTTACTTACTTAGTACTTTTACCCTCCTACTAGAATATTAGCTCCATGAGAGCAAGAAGTTTTGCTGTTTTCTTTTTTCTTTTTTTTTACTGCTGTACCCCCAGACTTAGAACAATGTCCAAAGCACATCAAGTCAGTTAAAACTTTTTGTTGTTGTTGAGTGAATGAATAAATGAGCAAATATCTCATTAAGCATGTGCCAAGGGCTGGTGCTATAGTTGTGAGACAAAACAGGCACAATTCCTGCCCTGATGGAGTTCACGATGTAGAGGGGTAGATAGATATCAATCCAATGGGAGACAACTAAATATCTGACACGGGTTGCACTAAGCCCATTGAAGGAAAAGGTATTTGGTAGTGTGAAGGCCCGTAACAGTTCCACTGTGGTGATGGTGAAGGTTTCCTTGGGGAAACTGAAAGCGTGATCTATGGGATGAACACGAGTTCACTACTTTAAAATTCTTAGTTCTTTGACTTTTGACCTCTTGCAAGGTGTAGGACCCCCGAACCTTTCTGAATCCCACGCTTTTTTTTTCTGTAAAATGAAAATAGCAATTGCCAAGTCACAGGTCCTGTAGGGAGAACGTAGTTACAGAAGATAACTGTTACCACCGCTCTTCTCCTGCCCTGTGAACGCACCGACCTTTGAGCAGCTCGCAAGTCCCTGGGGTGTAAGCGGCTGGCTTTCGGCAGCGCCAGAACCCCGTTCCTTTGGCCACTGCTTTCACCCTCTCCTGGGAAGCCATGGACGGACCCTGAGGAGAGTAGAACGAATGACACACTCTCTGTGTCCCAGGTCCAATCTCTGCTCTCGTACCTCCCCAACACCATCCAAAGTCTGGGAGCGGAGTGGGGCCGCAGGGGAATCGTGGCGTCGCCCGTCAGTTGTGACAGTGCCGATCTTCCTAACCCTGAACAGAAACGCAGGCGAACGGAGACCTCATCCTTACCCGGCGCCTGCGGCAGGAAATCCCCCTCTGGAGGAAGGGGGCACTAGGATAGCCGTGGTCACGACAGTGCCCGTTGGCCCAAATGGAAACTTCACCCTAAAGTAAGACCCCGGCTGCGTGCTCCCCTCCCTACAGAGAGCGGCAGCTGGGCTCCGGAGATTGTAACCACGGCTCTGCAGCAGCTCCACGCCGAGGCCCCGCAGAATACTGTACTTTAAAGAGATCTCGGGGACCAGACCTCAACAGGCAGCGCTGGCTACCATGGTAACGAGCACAAGCCTCTTGACGCGTGCGCACAGCTACAGTACGGGCCTGCCTCCCGGAAGTGCTTTCCTCTGGGTCACAGCGCAGGCGCATAGGATGTGTGGCGCCGCGCGAGGTGTAGTGTGTCGCCTCGGGCATCTCCTCGCGGCTCTGCGGAGCTGAGCAGGGTCGCCGCGGCGTGGGCATCATGTCAGACAACGAAGACAAGTGAGTGCGGGGACGGAGCGGCCCTAACGGGGCCTCGGAAGGGGCGCGTGAAGCGGAACCCTGGGTTCAGGGAGGCTGAGGAGCCAGGCGTCAAGAGGCAGTGTCCGAGGGGAATTCGGTGCCCGCGGAGGTGGAGAAGGGAAGGGCGGGGAACCAAGAGCACAGACCGGGCCAGAGGCTTGACACAGGAAGACCAGGCTCGAGAGTCCGGAGAGATTCAGTGAGAAAGGTCTTCAGTAAACTTCCACTGAGTCGGGCTCTGTGTCTTGTAATGGGAATATTGAGGTGAATTAGATTTAGTCCCTGCTCTCCACGTGGCTCCCTTTCTAGAAGAGGGGACGGGCCCATAGACAGATGATACGGGGTCGTGTGAAATTACCTAGTAGAAGTAGCCCAGAGGAAGGCCTGGCGAGACTCCGAGGTGATAAAGATCTGGAAGGGTTGCAGTAATCTAGGTGAGAGAAGGTGATGGCTTGTATGGGAGTGGTAGTAGTAGGGATGGTGAGAAGTGGTTTTGAATTCTGGTTTATTTTGAAGCTAGAGCCAAAAAGATTCCCTGATGTGTGGTGTTGGAGGAGAGGTCTGTTCTGAAGATAAAAATAGTGGAGTCATCAGCATAAATGTATTAGTCAAAACTAGAAACAGGTGAGATCACCAGGAGAGTGTCTGTAGAAAAGAGGAGATGACTGGTGTTAGAGCGTTCCAGCACTGAATGCTTGGTGGAAGAGAGGAGAAGCCAGCATAGGAAGCCCGAGAAGGAGCAGCCTGTGAGGTGGGGAACACCCAGAGTGAGGTGTCCTTGCATTCAAGTGAGGAGAGTGTACTGAGCGGGAGGGAGCGGTCTAGTGTGCCAACTGATAGATAAAGCTGAGTGAGGAGAAGTATTGTCCATTGGATTTAACAATGTGGCAATCGTTAATGAACTTGAAAAGAGTCGTTTTGATGGAGCTGTGGGAGTGAAAGTTGTTGGAGGAGATTATGACAAATTGGAGACAGTGAAGAGGGACAACTTTTTCATGAATTTTGCTCCAAGAGGAGTTTAGAAATAAGGAGGTAAAAGAGAAGTAAGTTTTGTTTTTTTTAAGATGAGGACATAACTACATGTTTGCATGCTGATGGGAATAAGCCAGTGGAAAGGGAAACAGTGATGAGTCCTAGCAAAATTTGGCGGCTGATGGGATAAGGCTGAAGGAGTAAAATGAAATAAGTTAATAAGTTTAATTCACTCATTAAGGAGATATTTATTGAACACCTCCTATGTCGTTTCAGATGAGACAGATCTCTGCCCTCTTTGATTCTGTTAAGTAATGCTCTAACTAATTGACCTCTTCGTCTTGTACAGTTTTGATGGTGACGACTTTGATGATGTGGAGGAGGATGAAGGACTAGGTGACTTGGAGAATGCCGAGGAGGTCAGTATTTAGCTGTGGGCTCCCTTCTGCAGCCCAAGCTGCCGGCTGGTGATAATTGCCTGAATGCGTCTACCTCCTGTTTGGTCAGGGCCCTGCCAGGCATCCCCAATTAGAGGGAGCAGTGTTCCAGTCCTGGATAGTGAAAAAGTCCTACAGGGTGGGCCTGAAGGCTTTTGTCTATTTGGTCCACATCCCATGGCTTCTGGGGCATTCTGTTCACTGATGGGTGAAATAGAGCCTTCATTCATTCAGCAAACGTCTGTTGAATGTTTACTATTTGCTAGGCGCTCTGTGGGCTGGGGCTATGTAAGGAGCAAGGGGGGCAGGTAAGGGCCCAGATGAGATAGGATTTTGTAGCCTGAAGGTGACCAGAAACCACTGACCAGTGATGAGCCAGGGAGTGGCATGATCCAGTTTATACTTTAGAAAGAGTATTCTGGCCTCAGTGAGAGCATACTGGGAGGAGCCAGAGCAAAGGAGAGAGACCAGTTAGGAAGCTCCCACGCATCCATCCAGGGGAGAGCCCTGGAGCTTGGGCTTGGGTGCTGGCACTGTAGGTGATGAGGAATCAGATGAAAGAAACTTTGGTGGATTGGTTAGAGGGCTGAGGTGAGGCAGTGGGAGATGACAAAGATGACTCCCAGTTTGCTGGCTTAAGCAACTAGGCGGATGAGTTACTAACTTAATGAATAAATAGGGCTTTCTGTCCTGTGTGACTGATGGAGGAAGAAGTGCTTCATGTCTCCGGGAAAGAGAGTGAGCCCTCCATTTTTTTAGGCTAGGAAGCTGAAGCCCTCTTTTTTTGATTTCCTCTCTCAGTGTGGCCCTCAGGCACCAGTCACCAAGTCAGAAGCCTTCTCCATCCTTCTGGTCCCCCACCATCCCCGCCTCCTGGTTCTGCCTCTTCCATGTGGGTCACCTCGATTCTGGTTCCACTTCCTTAGGGCCTCAGCCTGGTTCAGACCCCATACTGCAGAACTTGGGTTACTGGTTTTCCTGCCTCCCCTCTCGCTCCAGTCCGCTCTGTTGGCCATTCTGCTGCCAGAGTCATTTCTTACCTGCCCACATGGTTGATTACTGCTGGTCTTCCAAAGTGGTCTCATCCCCGCCCCCCACCGGCCGCCCACCCCTCAAAGAATATTCTCTGTAGAACATTTGTAGAGAGACTTAAATCTTAACAAATTGTGTCTCTTCTCTGCTCAGAACCCTGCTCTGGTGGCTTCCCATCTCACACAGAGGAACTGCAAAAAGATGTACGAGGTCCTTCATGATCTGGCCACCTGCTTCCTCTGTGGCCTTATCTCTTCCTGCTGTCCCTGTCATGCCAGGCAGACTCTTGCCCAGCCCTTTGATCATGCTGATCCCTCTTCCAGGACTACTTTTCTCTTAAATATGCAGATGACCTACCCCTCACCTCCTTCAGGTCTTTGTCCAGGTGTCACTTCAGTGAGGCCTTCTGTGACCATCCTATTTAACTGTAGCACCCTCCCTTCCAGTACTACTATCCTGGGACTCCCTGTCTTTTTTCTCTGTTTTTATCTTTATTTTTATTTATTCATTTATTTTCCTTTTCTGTTTTTACATTAGATGTTTTACTTACTAATATTGTTTGTTGTTTATCTCTTCTCAGTGTAATGTAAGCTCTATAGGGGAAGTATCTGTTTTACTCCTCTGTCTCAAGCGCATTCTCTCCCACCCCTGTGCCTTTGCACATGCACCTCAACCTGCCTAGAGTGCACTTCACTCCCTCATTGGCTGGGCAGCTCCTACCCATCCCTCTAGAGTAGCTCCTGCCTCAGCTTTGGACAGCCTTTCTAAGCCCCAGTGTTTGAATTAGGTGTCCTCACACCTTCCTGTTAACTTTGTCACGCACTTGCATACCTTCATAGCACCTACTCTTTTTTTTACTCTTGTCCCCTCCCAAAATGTGAATTCTTAAAGAGCAGACACTCTTAGCTTCCTGTCTCAGCACTTACTATGATGTTTGGCATATGACAGATGTTTAATATGTAATTGTCAAATATATGAATATATGTGAATGTGTATATTCCTGCCTTCACTTTGACTTTTTAGCCTCTTGACCCATTGACTCAGTTACCCTATCTGAACGATGGGGTGCTTGTTTCTCGCATCTTGCTTAGCGTGATCTCAAGGACTAATTTGTGTAGGGCCAGTGTTCCGGGACTGCCTCATCTCCAGGCCCACTGCTGCTTCCTTCTGGATGAGGCAGCTGGCTGTGGAATCCCAGTCATGGTTCTTCTCTTTTTCTAGATTGGAGGCTTTGGCCAAGTTAGCCAACTCTCCAAGCCTCTAAAATGGGCACTGTAATCCACATCTCCTAAGGTTATTATGGGGATCCCATGAGGTGTTAGGATGGTCACAGGGGTGCTGGCATGCAGTAAGGTAGTGCTAGTATACTCATGGTCATCTTCCTTCTCCCGTCCCCCCAAAAATGCACCTGAGACTTTCCCTCTTTTCTGTCTTGGTGTCCAGGAGGGCCAGGAGAATGTTGAGATCCTCCCCTCTGGAGAGCGACCACAGGCCAACCAGAAGCGAATCACCACACCATACATGACCAAATATGAGCGAGCCCGTGTGCTGGGCACCAGAGCTCTCCAGATTGCGTGAGTGTTTTTCCTTCACAGTCTTTCCCATCACTCAGACCACAGTGAACCTCCGAGCTATTGATAGGGCCCAGCCTGGCACCTGAAAACAAACCCTCTCTGCTCTTACATGCTAAACAGGGGTGGTTCTGTCCATGTGTCAGGCACCGTGTTAGGCCCTTGCCCTCAGGGTGTTCGTGTTCTCATAGGAGAAATAGGACATGAGCCTCTGAGGAGCCAAATAGCAAACAGTACAGTAGAAAAACAATAAAAGTGCAGAACTTGATTGCCTGTCAGGTTAGTGAAACAAAAAAAAAAAATGTGAATTCAAAAAGCCCTAGACCATGGTGGGCTGGTTAGCCAGGGGGTGCTGTGGCGGCATCTGTTGGGCTTTAAGTAGTTCTTGACTTAAGGTAGACTGAACTCCCCAGTGGGGAAGGCCCTTCATAGAGGGGCCATGCTAGAGATGTGGGAGCACAGAGCAGTGGTGGGATTCTGGGAACTCGAATATTAGCAACCTTTCCTTTCTGTCCCAAGTTTGGAGCCAGTTGAAGAATAACCAAATTCCAAAGATAGCGTGGACAGGTGGAAATCAAAACGTCCAATAACTGAATATCCACCCTGTCAGCCTCAGACCTTGTGGCTTCCAGAGGCTACAGGGGCAAGCACCCCTGCTGAGGCTGTGGCCATGGGTCTCAAGGCACCCTTTCTGCAGACAGGTGCTTTGGGAAAGCAGGGGCTCTCGAAGAGGCTGGGCCACAGATGCCTGCTTCTCCCCAGCCTATCAGATAAATTATTCCCCCCTAGGGATGAGTGATTGAGGGAATAGAAAGAGGACAGATGTGTTATTGCTACTCTAACAGAACCTCCTCCCCAGGGAAATGAGCCTGAGGAAATGAGCCCTGACCCCAGACTTCTTACAAGCTGGTGTGGGAAGTGGTGGATATCCGGAGGAGGGGTGTTTCAAGTAGGGAATAGTGGAAAATAGGCCAGAAAGAAAAGCTGAGGCCAGGTTTGTGGAGTCATGCATGCTGGAGGAACAGTGAAAACACCTCATTTTCAAATGGCATTATACTTGATCTCCTCCAATCCTATGGGGTAAAGATGACCATCGTGTCCACCTTGAACAGGGTTTTATGGGGAGGAGGGGCAACATTGTTCCTCACTTACTCTATTCCATAGCAGTAGACCTCTTACTGGCCTGGTTGCACTCCTTTCTGGTCTGAGTGAAATCGGAGCTGTACTCAGTATTATAATTTTGCTATCTCTGGAGTCAGGATCCTCTAGGTCTGCACCATCAGCTAAGGTAGCTACTAGCTACATGTGACCATTTAAATTAAGTAAATTAAATGTTTGGTTTTCCATCTCTTTAACCATATTTCAAGTGCTCAATAAGCCACATGCGGCCAGTGACTCTAGAAATGGATAGTGCAGACAGAGGGCAGTCCTTTAGTTGCACAGCATTTTAGTGGGCAGTGCTGTCTACCTACACTAAAAACGATCCAGCAGAGAAACTAATTCATAAGTTATTTTTCAAGCATACAGACTGTATGCAAGTGAAAAATCTTTCTCTGTTGAGTAAGATATTGTATTTGTACCTGTTGGGTATGTAAAGATGGTCACAGCCATGATCCTCCAGTCCTCCAGGTGTTTACAGGTCGTGGGGGACAGGGACCTATTCACAAATATCCAGAATCCAAGGCAAATGTTAAGTGGTGCTTTACAAAGTGTACAAGAAAGAAGAGAAGGGAGTATTTATAGGGGTGACTGGGAAAAACTCCATGAAGGGATTGGAATTCAAGTGGGAAGGGAGGTATTGAGGGTATCCCGGGGGTCAGAAATAGCACAAGGAAGGGCAAGCAAATGTAGATATTGGTGAGGCATGGCAACAGCTTGGGGTACAAGACTGAAAAAGATGTCACTAGTGCCTTGAATGACAAGTTCAGAAGATTGGCATGCATTTGGTAGGCAGTGTGGAACACTTAAAAATTTGGAACTAAACATTCAGAACACTTCCAAGTCCCAGCATCCTGCTCCTCTTTGGAAGAGAGGCTTGGCTCAACATAGTTGGGTCTGTAGTGCTCTTTCTGATTGAGCGCTAGGATGCTATCTGGCAGATCCCCGCCTCCTGTAACCACTCAGACAGCCAGGGATGAATCTCATCCCCAGCACAAGGCATACCACCTTGCACTTAATAGGTGCTGAAGAAACATTTTTTGGATAGATTTTGGATAGTCTCACTCCAATTCATTGGCACCACCTGGAGGCTGATGGCTACTTCCTAAGGATCATTGCCGAGTTCTTCGTGGAGTCTTTGGTGGGAGATAAATATCTAAGGATGCACTGCCATGCTTTGCACATTACATGCACATATTAGGTTGGATAAATAAGTGCTCTTGAATTATTATATCCTGAGAGAAATAAGGCATATGCATATCATGAAAAGCATTTTGCTGCATTTTTTAAAGCTGTACGTTTATTGAGAGAGGATATAGGGAAAGTTAAACTCTTGATCTCTGCCCTTGGCAACTGTCCAGGCTTTTGTGAGTAATGTGAATCAAAACAGTTAATAAAGATAGTAGGTGATATTGTATTAACTGGTGGCTGTCAGACTGGCTGATTATCACCTGGGGAACTCTACAAATGTAGATTCTCAGGCTCTTCCACTGGAGATTCTTCTCAGAGGGTCTGAGGCAGAACCCGGGAACCTATATTTTTTGCATGCTTTCCAGTAATTCTGATGATAATAAGGTTTGGATTCATTAGTGTAAACTTGAGCTGGAATCCTTCAAAGTGGCTTCCTAGAAGCGGTGGGCCTAGAATTGGCATTCCCCCTGTTTGTTTTTAGAGCCTCTGCTGTGGGCCAAAGCATCATGCTGCACCATGTGGTTGTGGTCTAATGTGGAGGTCTTCAAAACAAGTAGTCACAATACAGTGAGATTTAGAATATGTAAATGGAGTCAGGGCACTGAGGATTCAACAAGTGATTTCCAGAGTAGAGACCTTTGAAGTCTCTTGCAGGCTTATACAGAGACAATGAGTTTATAAGAGGATGCAGAAGGGACATAATGGTATGACCTGGGAGCTGTAGGACTTGGTATGGTGGAAATGTGGGATAAATAAAGGCAGGTAGCGTGAGAAGGTGCTAGAAAGGTGAGCAGGGGCCAGACTGAGTTCTGCCTGGTAGCTGTGGGGTGTGTGGAAGGGCTGTATGCAGGAGAGTGCCTGACTACAGGCCCTGTGTGGAGGCTGGAAGAGCAGGAACCCTGAGGGGTGTTGCTAGTTGCTAGGGGAGGAAAATGAGGTGGCTGGGCCCTGGGTAGGACCGGGGTTGGGTGGGGGGTGTGGACTGGAATAATCAGAAAGGTGAGCCTTTGCTGTGCTGTTCCTTTGTGCTGGAATACTCTGCCATGGTGGCCTGGCTTGGAGGCTGTGAGTGGCCCTGGAGAACGTCCTTGGCATGGTAAATGACATATGGCCAAGTGATGAAAGCATATGCTTGTCCCTTTGGCAGTACTTTTCTTAAGTTCACAGATCTTAAGTTTATTAATGGGAGGTATTACAGCACAGTAGGTAGGAGCATGCAGAGTTCAAATCATGGCTCTGCTGCTTACTGGCTGTGTAACTTTGGACATGTTACTGACCTGTCTGTGCTGGTTTCCCTATCAGTCAAATGGGAGTTAACAATAGTACTCGCCTCAAATGAGATAATGTATGTGAAGAGCTGAGAACAGCATATGGTACTTAGTGAGTCTTTGCTTGTTAGCCAGTAGTGTTTTGGCGTCATTATTTCGTAGGTGGGGCAGGGCTTTTTGTCTCCATTTTCCAATGAGAATACTGAGATTCAGAGAGAAATTCATTGTCTTTGGGGGCAAAATTTGAATGCAGTCTACTGGCTTCCACTCACGTACCCTCATTGTGGCAGTGTCCCTGCACCATTGCTCCCCACCTACCATGCCTGCCTACCTTTCTAGGTGAGGTGACCTTTCTAGGTGAGGACTGGGATGCCAGTCTGGTCCTGTTTGTGAAGTGAGTCCCCTGGTTCCTGCTAGGCCCTTCTCCCTGTGTTGTAGTCTCCCCCAATACCTGTTCCTGTACCTACAGGATGTGTGCCCCCGTGATGGTGGAGTTGGAGGGGGAGACAGATCCCTTGCTCATCGCCATGAAAGAGCTCAAGTAAGTTGCCTAGACCCTGGTTCACTGCTCCAGAGCCCTGGGGGGGCATCCAATGGGTTCCCTGTTGCATGCCCTCCCCCCCGCTTCCCTGGCTGGGGAGGTGTGGTTCTTGTTGCCACAGATCCTTAGTTTAGGAGTCAGCCCACAAGGGAGGAGGGAGGGGGAGGAAGGGACAGGCAAAGTGGGAGGACATGGATGAGCACAAACCTCCCCTGCCCGTCAGAATTTCTCTGTTCCTGCTGCAGTTGGACTTGCCAGTATCCCTCCACTCTTGCCCTCCCCCCTCAACCATGAGAGGGCAGAGCCTTCCCAGACATGCTGTCCCACGGTCAGGGGTGTAGGAACTTTCTTTTTATTATAATTTATTTCTACGGAGTGCATTCCCAAGAGGATGCTCCTAAGACTTCTCTTTCTTGCATTCTACGCACAATCTGTCGCTTTAGCAGTAGAGCTGGAGTCACCAGCCTTCATGTACTTGTGACTTCTCCCCTGCCACAGGGCCCGAAAGATCCCCATCATCATTCGCCGCTACCTGCCAGATGGGAGCTATGAAGACTGGGGGGTAGACGAGCTCATCATCACTGACTGAGCTGCAGTCATCTTCCTGACTGGGCCTCACCCCCAGGGTCTCTTCTCATATTCTTTATATGTGTAAATAATAAACTGTTAAGCCTTCCCACCCTCTCTGCCTCCAGCCATCTATGATGCCCACCTGCTGCTTCCTGAAGGGTACACCCATCCCAGTGGTCCTGTGACTGTCAGCTCTTTAAGAGGCACCAGGGGACCTTACTCCCTGTGGATCCCCCACATCCCGCCCTCCATCACCCTGTTCCCCAGAGCGAGGGCTGAGGGAGACACCTCAGCTGCCTTCCCAGCAGACAGACGAGCCTTTGTGCCCAGGGAGCTGGTTGCCATGGAAACCCCCAATTTCCTTTCCAGTGGGGACTGGCTGCAGGGGCTTCTCCCTTCTCAGGAGTATCACAGAGCAGGTCTCATCAAGCCACCCATTGTTTACTAAGGACCTGCCTCTAGCTTCTTATCATGGGCTCGGATCCCCTTTCAGGAGTCAGTGCCCCAGCAGGAAGCTTGGGGATGCAGTGATCTGCCCTCCCCAAGCAGAGCCCTGCTGGGCAAGTCAGCAGCTGGAGCAAGGAACAAGCACCTGCCCAGCCCTTCGCCTCTTGGTCCCCACTCCTTAGGCCACTGCCCATCCCTCTCGGCTGTGGCCTGCCTCCAGTCTGCCACACCCATACCCTTCCTTCCCAGCCTCTGGAAGATGTCCTTTCTCTTCTAGGTGGGGCCTGGGATCCTCTGAGGTTTTGACTGGATGGGTGCTGGGAGGACAGTGGGCAGGGAAGCAGGGCTCCTGAGTTCAAGGCGAGACATTAAATCAGGACTGGAGCTCCCCTTCGTCTGCCCTAGGTTCTGGTGGGTCCTGTTCTCTTCTCTCTGCTTGCCCAGTCTGCAGTAAGGCCAGTTACACGTTACTCTGTCCCTCTGGGGGACAGGGAGAGGGTGTGTACTGCCTCCAATAGAGTAGAGGGAGAATTGGCTCCCAGAATATTCCAGCCTTGACCTCCATTCTGCGACCAGCTCTCCTTCCAGGAAGAGGAGGAGCCAGGCTTGCCTGACCTCTGCAAAAGGCAGGCCCCCTGGAGGGTGGGTACACCCTGGGTAGCGGGAAAGTGATGCGCATCCCCGCAAGCAGGAGGGTGTTCGATGTTATGGAGAAGGGTTAATTCAGGGCGCAGTGGACTTTGCACCCCCTTCCACCTTCTTCCAAGCCTGTGGAATCCTTTAATCAAGTTGGGTGCTGAAATTTCAGCTCTGAAATGCCGCCTTTGTGCTGGCATCCAGGCGGCCGCCCCAGAGTGCGGGGGTCACTTTCTCGGCCTCGTTTCTCTAAATGGCCTCTTTGTTCCTGCTGCGCTGCTCAGTATCAGATGTGATTAAAGGAGATGAGGTTTGGGCGGGGGAAGAGAGAAAGGACTGGTAGAAGGAGTAGGGGGTTAACCCTTAGGGGATAGGGTGTAGGGAAGATGGAGAAGGGTGTTTTGCCTCCCCCCCATCCCTTCCCATTCTGTTCTTTTGGGGAGTCAGTCCCTTGCTACTCAGCTGGCCACACCTGGGCATAGTCTCTTGAACCCTCTCCAGAAACACCTGGCCCCTTCTCTCTTGACACGTGGAGCTACTTCCTCACTGAGGCCTGAGCACATCCGGAACCTGAGGTCTAAGGGATGAGCACAGGCCAGGTCTTCAGACTTCTCAGGGTCATTTGTCCTCATTGGGGCCACTCCCCACCTCACGTATTCCCAGTGATTCTCAGAGTTGATCTCAAGAGATAGTGGAGGTGGCAGTTTCATCTTCCTGGTGTAGCCCCTCCCCTCTGCCCTGCTGGCTCCATGTCCACAGCCCCACTGAGAGCGGGAGCTGGGAACAGACTGGAAATGCACTTGTGCCCTGCTTTTCAATAGCGGGGACAGGGCGAGTTGTGAAAATGATGAGCACATAAAGTTAGTTGATTGACTCCTAACAAAATTCTATAGTAAGTTATTGCATATTTGAAAACACTTAGATAATAAAGAGGAGACCCAGGAGTTAGCACAGGGTTTCTAAGACTATCACCAGATGAACCAAATTCGCTTTTTTCAGTGGTTACACGTCTGGAAGTTTGGAGGAATGCTAGATACAGAGAACCTTGATTTTAGCAAGGCATCAGGTAGTCTCTGTGTATGGCTATGATGGAGGAGTGTGTATTTTGTGGTGATGTGGTTAGCTAAATTCAGAATTGATTGGACAGTTTTTCCCTCAGAGAATTGATTATTTAGTGGGGTACATAGGGCCGGTCCCTCTTGATCTCAATCTTTTTTATTAGTGACTTGGATGAGATTATTCAAGTTTGCAGGTACATAAAGCTCAGAAGGAGAGCTAAAAAGTTAGATTCAGAATTTTCAAAGATTTAATATAGGTGGGGAAATGGTCAGATCCATCAATATGAAATCTGTTAAAGATCAGTATCTACAGCACAACAAAATAGAAAAAAAAACACCAGAAAATAGCTTATATGCAGTATGGAGTGATCTGACTGGACAGCAGATACTGTCTACAAGGCAGGGAGGGGTCAGGAGTCACCACTGCGCTTCACGGGAGCCAGCAGTTGTGGGAAGGTTGCCTGAGACGCTACATGATGCAGCTTCCAGATGGGCATTTGCCCCCCTGGGGGACTGGGTTAGTTCCTGGTGTGCCGTACCCCCAGGTCCTGACCACGAAGTGAGGGGCTGACCCCCATGGATAGAAGAGATGGATAATGGGCTCGGGGTGCAGGTCTGGAGCAGCGGAAGGGGCATGGCTGCAGATTACAAGCGGAATAGTGCCTGCACCCATGGGCCTGTGGAAGAGATGGTGGTTAGGAGCACGAGCCTTGGAGTCAGAGCTGGCTTCCGAGTCTGGTAGCAGCACCCTTCTAAATCGGGACAAGAGTTGGACCCCGTCCCTCACAGGCCTGAATGATATAAGGCCCTCACAAGGCCTTTGGCCAGGGGGCACCCAGAACCTGGTAGCAGTTAGTTACTCTGAGCTGGGTATAAGGAAGACTTGCAACTCTCAGAGCCGTCCATCAGTAGAGCCCAATGGTGAAGAGTTTTCCCTGCCCCTGAGGTGGAGTGGCTCCTGGTCCCTGAGCACAGGTTGGAATTCCGCTGAGGAAGGAGCTCTTGGGGAGTAAGCATGGGAGGAGTAAATTGCAAGTCTGCCATCCTGGGTTTACATTCAGACACAGCAACTGCTGTGAGGACTCAGCTAGATCCTGGAGTGGCTGATATGTGTGTGTGTCTGAGGGGAGGTGGCAGGTGGAGGGGTGCAGAGGAGAAGGCCCATCCACATATCCTAAAGGACCAGGCCTGCTGGCTGCTGACAGCAGGACATCAGGCTTGACCCACCTTTCTTTCAAATACTGTCCCTTGATGGGTATTTTACGTTATCTGCCTTGGTAAGTGCCTCCTCTCTGCTGGGCATGCAGAGGGGCTGCTGGGAAGGCGCTCTTGCTGAGTTCCAGCTTGAACCTGCAAGTGGACCCCCTGCACTGTGGGGCACAGCTCGTGGGGTGCAGGGAAGAGCTCCCACCTGGGGCCTCAGTCCTGACCACACACCGACCCCACTGGGCCCCCAGTGGTCCTAGCACACCACATTGCCCTACCTCCTTAGGGAGTGAGGAGACCTCTGGATTTCTATGCTTTGCGTGCCACCCCTAGCTACTTAGAGAAAGCATGTGAGGAATACAGGTATAGGGATAAGAGACCAAGAGACAGGCCAGGTCAGGCCCACCAAACAGGTAACCGGAACCTTTAATTTTATTATGTGGAATGCTTAATGCAGAGTTAATAGGGGCTGGAGTATACCTAGGACAGGGGACAGGGGCAAGGGAGCTACTGAGATAAATAAGAGGAGGCGGTAATGAGTTACATGTGGATTGTGGGGTCTGCAGAACAGGAAAATAGGGGCAGACAGAGCTACATACTTTATTCAGATACCACTGGGAGGCAAAGGGCAAAGGCCAGGGCAGAATGTACAGGTCAGGAGTTTAGTGTCTTCAGCCTGCTGCCAGCAACCTGGTGCTGGGCCCTGTGTCTCCTGGAGCTGAGGGTTTGGGTCTGAGCATCTGTAACTCTGGGAAGCCCAAGGACTTGGGGCTGACAGAGCAGAGACCACAGAGCCTGGCGAGGAAAGAGGGAGCTGGAGGGGAGCCTGCAAGAAAGGCTGTGAAGCCCCAGGCCCCTCACCTCCTGGGATGCGCCTCAAGGTCCGGGAGGTTGTAGTGGAATAGGACGGGGGCCCTCTTTCTTGACAAAGAATGAGGTTATTGGCACAGAATTGGGTTTGGGGGCCTCTGTGCCAATTCCTTCCTGTGTTCAGGAGGGGGCAGGGCACTGAGAGGACGGAGGAGACCTCCCTCTGAGCCTCCACCCACCCCCATGGCCCCTGAGGCTGTTCCAAGCTGTCCTCAGCCCCGAGGGCAGATGGAGCCCGCTCCTGACAGGGGCGCAGGGCTCTGGTTGGCCTTGCTCTCAGGTGCGTGGCCCAGGGGGCACAGGTTCTGTCAGACTCTCACGCTCCACAAGAGCACACGTGGACACACGGAGCGGCAAGGCCTCCGGTTACCATCCGACCCTAGATGCCTTCCCACGCCCTGGGATGAGGGTTGTTCTGGGGCTTGGGGGTGGGAAGGTGCGGCCCCTCATCGTTCAGCTAGGGGCATCAGTCAACCTCCTCCTCCTCTGCCCAGCCCAGCAGCCTGGGGCTTCGCCTGGGCTGGAGCCCGGATGGGATGGGGTGGGGTCATCAAAGGCAGTGAGCCAGACAGAAAGCTGACCCTCAGCTGTCAGCCTCTGCAGCCTCCTCCATAGCCAGCACCAGGCCTAGGATGGGCAAGGAACAGGGCACAAGGGCTGGGGGAAGGGGCATGCTACCCAGAGGGATCTGGTGGTGGTGGTGGTGACAGGACCCCCTTTAAGGCCTGGACAGGGTTGTATATACTGGCTGCTCCCAGTGTGTGGGACTGTGGGACTGGGGCCCTGAGGGGCTGGGGTCAGAGATGGCCGTGTAGAGGGGCCGCTGTGAGGGCCCCATGTAGGAGAAGGCTGAATAGAGGCCAGAGGCCTGGCCTGAATGGCCATAATAGGGTCCTGAGGGCTGATGGTCAGAGTAGTCAAACTGGGGGCGGGAGATGGAGGGGAAGGCGGAGCCATAGTGGGGCAGACTGAGGGAAGTGTAGGCGATCTGTGAGGTGGATGGCTGGTCGGTATAGTGCGGAGGCCCCTGGGGCCCCGCGGTCTCTGTCTTCACCTGGGCTTTGGCATCCACGCCAGGTGGCGAGACTGTGGGCAGAGCCACACTTGGGGGCTTGGAGATCCAAGCCGAGTGTCCACTGGCCACAGCCAGGGCGCTGCCCAGCCCATAGCCAGCTGCTGAGTAGCTGCCCACGTGGCCTGGGTGCCCATTGGGCGGCAGGTACTGGTCCAACTCAGCCACATCAAAGGTCTCCATGTTGGACATTACCTCATGGCTGATCTCACCGATGTCCACGTTGCCGAAGTCGATGTGTGGTTTCCCACCCTCCCCCATGGAGCGCCCATCCCGCTTGGGGTCTGCCTTGCCCGACTGCAGCTCTGTCTTTGGGGTGGTCGGAGGGGTGGGTGGGCCATGGCTCTGGCCTGAGTGGAGGGAGAGAGAAAGAAGTGGGAAATGAGGTCAGAGGCTTCTGGATTCTGATGATTCACCTTCAGACGAGATGCCTGAGGAGACTGAGGGCTGATCACTGTGTGACCTTGTAAGTAGTACATGTTTGGGAGCCCCACTTGGCATTTATTTATGTAATGGCCTTGGGTTGATCTCCAGTTATTTACAAAATTCCCCAGTTTTAGGGATGCCTCCTATCCAGAGTGGTACTCTTTCTCTCACCCACCTCTTACGTTACTTTGAAAAACCTTTCCTGTTGTCAAATTCTTCCCCACATCAGCTGAAGCTGGCTTCCCTCCCTGCTCTCCTTGTTCCCTAGCTGTTGACCCTGATGGGGATCTGGCCCATTGATCTGAGCTTGCCTGCTTTCTCTGCGGCACGCGCTTGGCCTCTGCTGCTGCTCTCCTGGCTGGCCTCACCCGCCCTCATCACTCTTGCTTCTCACTTCTCCTGGCTTGCCCGTGCCTCCTCCCACCTGGCCCCCAAACAGCAATGTGGTCCTTCCAAACACATCCTTCCTCCCAAGCCAGTTCAAGTGCCCCTTGCTCCAGGAAGCCCTCCCTCTGGCCAGTCCCACTGCCATGCTGTCAGCTCCCATCACTCCCTAGGCTGTGCCACCCTATTGCTCCTCCAGCTGGTTTTCCCTGCTTGCTCAGGAGAACACTTACATAGCTGACCTGCGCCATCCTTGTTCTTCTGTCGGTCCATTTCTCATTCATACATTCATTCAACAAACACTTAGGGGACACTGCTTAGTGCCAGGCACAGGGCATACAGACATGAATAAAATGGGTCCTTGGGGGAGAGCAAGAGACCTACACAGGGTAGAGGTCTGCATCAGAAATGCTGTGAAGAGGGGATATGCAGAGCGCTCAGAGACTGGAGGAGGAAGCCACCCAGAGAAAAAGCCCATGCCCAGTTATATTCTGAGGTTGTGGTTCTGTACATGGTATAGGGGCTTGTGTGTGTGTGTGTGTGTGTGTGTGTTCTGGGTGTGTGTGTGTGTGCTTCAGGTGGGGTGGGGCAGGGATGGCTGGACTGGGGATCCCATCCGAGAGGGAACATGTCCATGGTCTGTGAAACAGGAACTCCTTGAGGGCAGATCTCCCTCAGACTGGAGGCAGTGATTACATGTGGATTGTGGGGTCTGCAGAACAGGAAAATAGGGGCAGACAGAGCTACATACTTTATTCAGATACCACTGGGAGGCAAAGGGCAAAGGCCAGGGCAGAATGTACAGGTCAGGAGTTTAGTGTCTTCAGCCTGCTGCCAGCAACCTGGTGCTGGGCCCTGCGTCTCCTGGAGCTGAGGGTTTGGGTCTGAGCATCTGTAACTCTGGGAAGCCCAAGGACTTGGGGCTGACAGAGCAGAGACCACAGAGCCTGGCGAGGAAAGAGGGAGCTGGAGGGGAGCCTGCAAGAAAGGCTGTGAAGCCCCAGGCCCCTCACCTCCTGGGATGCGCCTCAAGGTCCGGGAGGTTGTAGTGGAATAGGACGGGGGCCCTCTTTCTTGACAAAGAATGAGGTTATTGGCACAGAATTGGGTTTGGGGGCCTCTGTGCCAATTCCTTCCTGTGTTCAGGAGGGGGCAGGGCACTGAGAGGACGGAGGAGACCTCCCTCTGAGCCTCCACCCACCCCCATGGCCCCTGAGGCTGTTCCAAGCTGTCCTCAGCCCCGAGGGCAGATGGAGCCCGCTCCTGACAGGGGCGCAGGGCTCTGGTTGGCCTTGCTCTCAGGTGCGTGGCCCAGGGGGCACAGGTTCTGTCAGACTCTCACGCTCCACAAGAGCACACGTGGACACACGGAGCGGCAAGGCCTCCGGTTACCATCCGACCCGAGATGCCTTCCCACGCCCTGGGATGAGGGTTGTTCCGGGGCTTGGGGGTGGGAAGGTGCGGCCCCTCATCGTTCAGCTAGGGGCATCAGTCAACCTCCTCCTCCTCTGCCCAGCCCAGCAGCCTGGGGCTTCGCCTGGGCTGGAGCCCGGATGGGATGGGGTGGGGTCATCAAAGGCAGTGAGCCAGACAGAAAGCTGACCCTCAGCTGTCAGCCTCTGCAGCCTCCTCCATAGCCAGCACCAGGCCTAGGATGGGCAAGGAACAGGGCACAAGGGCTGGGGGAAGGGGCATGCTACCCAGAGGGATCTGGTGGTGGTGGTGGTGACAGGACCCCCTTTAAGGCCTGGACAGGGTTGTATATACTGGCTGCTCCCAGTGTGTGGGACTGTGGGACTGGGGCCCTGAGGGGCTGGGGTCAGAGATGGCCGTGTAGAGGGGCCGCTGTGAGGGCCCCATGTAGGAGAAGGCTGAATAGAGGCCAGAGGCCTGGCCTGAATGGCCATAATAGGGTCCTGAGGGCTGATGGTCAGAGTAGTCAAACTGGGGGCGGGAGATGGAGGGGAAGGCGGAGCCATAGTGGGGCAGACTGAGGGAAGTGTAGGCGATCTGTGAGGTGGATGGCTGGTCGGTATAGTGCGGAGGCCCCTGGGGCCCCGCGGTCTCTGTCTTCACCTGGGCTTTGGCATCCACGCCAGGTGGCGAGACTGTGGGCAGAGCCACACTTGGGGGCTTGGAGATCCAAGCCGAGTGTCCACTGGCCACAGCCAGGGCGCTGCCCAGCCCATAGCCAGCTGCTGAGTAGCTGCCCACGTGGCCTGGGTGCCCATTGGGCGGCAGGTACTGGTCCAACTCAGCCACATCAAAGGTCTCCATGTTGGACATTACCTCATGGCTGATCTCACCGATGTCCACGTTGCCGAAGTCGATGTGTGGTTTCCCACCCTCCCCCATGGAGCGCCCATCCCGCTTGGGGTCTGCCTTGCCCGACTGCAGCTCTGTCTTTGGGGTGGTCGGAGGGGTGGGTGGGCCATGGCTCTGGCCTGAGTGGAGGGAGAGAGAAAGAAGTGGGAAATGAGGTCAGAGGCTTCTGGATTCTGATGATTCACCTTCAGACGAGATGCCTGAGGAGACTGAGGGCTGATCACTGTGTGACCTTGTAAGTAGTACATGTTTGGGAGCCCCACTTGGCATTTATTTATGTAATGGCCTTGGGTTGATCTCCAGTTATTTACAAAATTCCCCAGTTTTAGGGATGCCTCCTATCCAGAGTGGTACTCTTTCTCTCACCCACCTCTTACGTTACTTTGAAAAACCTTTCCTGTTGTCAAATTCTTCCCCACATCAGCTGAAGCTGGCTTCCCTCCCTGCTCTCCTTGTTCCCTAGCTGTTGACCCTGATGGGGATCTGGCCCATTGATCTGAGCTTGCCTGCTTTCTCTGCGGCACGCGCTTGGCCTCTGCTGCTGCTCTCCTGGCTGGCCTCACCCGCCCTCATCACTCTTGCTTCTCACTTCTCCTGGCTTGCCCGTGCCTCCTCCCACCTGGCCCCCAAACAGCAATGTGGTCCTTCCAAACACATCCTTCCTCCCAAGCCAGTTCAAGTGCCCCTTGCTCCAGGAAGCCCTCCCTCTGGCCAGTCCCACTGCCATGCTGTCAGCTCCCATCACTCCCTAGGCTGTGCCACCCTATTGCTCCTCCAGCTGGTTTTCCCTGCTTGCTCAGGAGAACACTTACATAGCTGACCTGCGCCATCCTTGTTCTTCTGTCGGTCCATTTCTCATTCATACATTCATTCAACAAACACTTAGGGGACACTGCTTAGTGCCAGGCACAGGGCATACAGACATGAATAAAATGGGTCCTTGGGGGAGAGCAAGAGACCTACACAGGGTAGAGGTCTGCATCAGAAATGCTGTGAAGAGGGGATATGCAGAGCGCTCAGAGACTGGAGGAGGAAGCCACCCAGAGAAAAAGCCCATGCCCAGTTATATTCTGAGGTTGTGGTTCTGTACATGGTATAGGGGCTTGTGTGTGTGTGTGTGTGTGTGTGTGTTCTGGGTGTGTGTGTGTGTGCTTCAGGTGGGGTGGGGCAGGGATGGCTGGACTGGGGATCCCATCCGAGAGGGAACATGTCCATGGTCTGTGAAACAGGAACTCCTTGAGGGCAGATCTCCCTCAGACTGGAGGCAGTGCCAAGTGCTGGAGTGGCCATGTGCTCTGGACTTTAAAGACCAGCCTGGCTTTGCATCCTGGCTCTGTCACTTACTGTGTGACTCTGGGCAAACCCCTATCTTCTTTAAACCACTTTCCATATCAGTAAAAGAAATGATACCAAGCAATTCAGATGTGGCCTCCTTCTGGAAGCCTCCATTGACCAGAGCCTGGTGGGTTGCTGGGTATCTTTGGAAAGCTGACTGGATGGATGGACAGGTAGATGACTGCTCCCTAGAGTCTCACATAGGCTTCTTTTTAATTCACTTGTCTTCATCCCCACTCCTCCCTCCAGGCTGGGGCTCCTGAGGCCGGGGACCACAACCTCTCTTGTTTGCACCCATGGTGTCTGCTCCTAGGCCTGGCACAAAGGAGGACTTGGGGCATGTTATCTGAAGGCAGAGCTCTGCTCACAGCGACTTCCGTGTGCCTGACCCTATGCACAGCATTCTGTACATTATATGGACACAAGCAAGCAGCCATGGGGCCAGCAGAGGCCCGCATTCAAACTGCCTGGGCTCAGACCTCAGGGTGTGGCAAGTTACTCTGTTTTCTCATCTGTCAAATAAGAGTGACTTGCCACACAGCTGAGGTCTGAATCTAGGCATTGTGGCTGCCAGATCACGGTTTAGAATAAAAGAATAAGTTAATACACATAAGGCAGTTAGCACAGTGCCTGTGCTCACTAATGTTAGCTGGTATTATTATTAATGGGAAGGAAAAAGGTGCCCTGTGTCTGGCCCATCTTAGCGTGTGCTCACCATCACATGCAGTGTCTTCCCCATCAGACTGGGATGGGTCTCTCCTCCAGCCGGGCTCCCGTTTCCCAGCGTGGGCCTGTCCCTGCTTTCCCTGTTGTGACGCACCCCCTGGCCTGCACAGCCTACCAGCTGGCCTTCTCACTCAGCAGCAGTGCCCCCTCCATCAGCCAGAGCCCTCTTGCCAACTGCCTGCCCCGGCCCCTGAGTCCCCATTGAGCTTGCTCTGGGCCCCTGCCCCCTAGCTGGGGTGACTGCACAGCCTGGCAAGCCCTCCCCAGGGCCCAGGGCGGTTGTGGGGTGTCAGGGTCTCATGCCTTCCAGCCTTTGCCTCTCCCCACCACCCAGGCTTCTCGTCAGCTCCCTCCCCCACAACTCCCTGCAGCTCCCAGTGCAGCACTCACCTGAGGGGTGCTCGGGGTTCCCGTCGGACATCGGGGAGCCCTCTCCTGGGTGCCGGTGGTCCAGGTGAGCGCTCTTGTAGTGGGCCTGGATGGCAGCAGCCCCACCTGGCTCAGCCTCCCCACCCGGGCACTCCGACTCCCCCTGGGCCGCCTTCCCGTTCTTCCGCCTTCGTGGCTGGTACTTGTAGTCAGGATGGTCCTTCTTGTGCTGCATCCGGAGCCGCTCGGCCTCCTCAATGAAGGGGCGCTTGTCACTCTCATTCAGCAGCCTGGGGTGGGATGGTCAGGGGAGACAGCAGAGGGGCCAGTGTGAGTCTGTCCTGGAAGAAATAAGGCCCCAGGATAGGGAGCCCTCCTGACAGGGCCCAGGGTCAGGACTTGCCAGATTGATTTATGGACTAGAAGATGTGAGGCCCAAGGAACCACAGACTCAGAGGGCCATGGTTGCTGCCCCCAAAGCTCTTGGGGACTGAGGTGGAAGGAGGGGTCAGCCTCTCCTGACAGCCCCTGTGGATGGAGTAGGAATCGAGCTTATGAGGGGCTTAGAGTTTCCTTCAGTTCAAGAAAAGACTCATCAGAGCTGCCTCCAAGTGGAGCTGGCTGCCTCGTTAGCAGGTGAGCTCCCTGGGACTGGAAACAAGCAGCATGGGGAGGGGGAAGAGCCCAGGCTCTGCTCCTTACTAGCTGTGTGACTGTGGGCGAGTCACGTCTCTGAGCCTTAGTTCTTCACCTATAAAACAAGGATGATAATACCTTCTTTACTGGGTGTGGAATGGCCAAGATATTGATGTGAAGCACTTTGCATAAAGCCTGGGGGTAGATGGTGGGTCTCTTGAAAGATAGGTGCTGCTCTAATGCTTCTTGGGGGTGGATGGACAGGAAGGAGGGCTTAACATGGGCCCCCTCAACTCTGGAATACCAATTTCATGAGTTCCAGTGTGGTGGGGCCAAGAGGGCAGGATGTGATTGCAAATTCTCTGTGTTGGGGTCACTGCCTCCTGAGAGATCTCATCCAGGGGTGACAGAGGGTACAGGAAGTTAGACTGTCTTCCCAGATCCTGGGACAGGGGCAGACAGACCCTCACCAGAGTCCAAGACCAGTCAGTGGAGGGAAGCCCTGAAGGCAGTGCCCCTGCCCACCCAACTCCAGCTTCAGGCCAGGGCTGGAGGGTGGGGTGCGATGTGCAAGGCTTGGCTCTCCTATGGTGAGGAGGGCAGGAGTGGGTAGTTTGCAGATGGGGCTCGTAGAAGCTGAGGTCAGGGACTCTGTGGGAGTCTGCCCCTCTGCCCAAAGGGCCTTTTTCTCCAGTGGGTGCCCTCTTCCCCCAGTCAGCAGAAGGCCAAGCCTTCCCTGACCAGGATGGGAGGGGGTGGTCATACCAGGCACCTCCTAGCCGGCAGCAGCATTCCTCTGCAGCTTAGCTTCCCCCAGCTGCCCCTTCCTCTGGGTGCTGGCTGCTGGAGCCCAGCACCCCCTCAGCCACCGAGCCCAGTTTTCTCCAAGGATCCCCCTAGCAGAGTATAAAGTGGAGACCCCAGACCAGCCCTTGGGCGTCAGGGAGTATGACGCAGGCCTTCCTCCCCACAGCAGGCCCCAGGGAGCAGGGGCAGGCTCTAGGGGAGTTGGGAGGACTGCACATGGGGGCAAAGAGCAGCCTCAGCCCCAGCACAGAGCTCTGAGGGATGGCTGGGGACACTGAGTTCCCTCTCCTACTGCAAACCTTCCTTGTGCTCTCTGTCCAGCTGGCCACCAGGCATAGATCAGCAAAAAAATGGCAAGGGGCACAGAGTGGGTCCACAGGTCAGCAGAGAGGGAAGATGCCACATCGCATCCCTCTGTCACCTCCATGCTAGTTCCCAGCAGTACCCTAACCTCCACAGACACCTAGCTCAGGGCACATTGCCACCCAGCCCTAACCCCAGCCCCATCCCTCACAGGCTGCAGACGGCTAACCCCACCTGCAGCTCCAAGCCCAGCCTCACCCAGACCTCCGACCTCAGCTTTTCTCCTAACCCTTAACCCACACTGCCCCAGCATCTCAAACCTAATCTCGACTGCAGTGCAGCCCTCACCCAGCGCTGCCGCCCACCTCCCCATGTCACCCACAGCTCTAACTGCAACCTAGTCCTCGGTTGTACTTTCCTTCGCCTCTACCCTCCAGATCACCAGGATTTGGAACAGGGGCAGGAAGAGGAAGGCTGGTTCCCTACCCAAATTGGAAACCCCGACTGGGGGGTTCCCCAGGTGGGGCTCTGTCTGCTGCTCTGTCTGCTGCTCCTGTTGGGGAAGGGGAATGGGTCAGGAGAGGCTCTAGCCTGTGCACCCCCTTTCCAGTCTCTTGGTACTAATTTTTCTTCCTGGGCAGGTCAACTCACAACCAGCACCGTGTGACCAGCATCCAACAGCCCTTTTCCAGGAGGGCACCGAAGGGTAGTGTGACTCCCAGAGCTCACACTGCCGCTTAGGAGCTCGTGTGTCTGATTCGAACCCACAGCCAGCACCCCTCACAGTCTGGCTGCATGTCTTTCTCTTCTCAGGGTTAGGGCCCTTGTTTTCCAGCTCTGCACACCTAACCGTCCTCCTTCTTGATGGCCTGTGGGTCACGAGCCTGGGGGCGGGTTTCAGGAGGCGTCCCTGGAGAGACTGGCCAGCCCAGCCCATATCCAAATGCCTCTGGGGACTCCCACCCAGGATCCAGGCTCCCTACCTGTTGGCCTAGCCCTTGATCCTTGCCATTGTTCTGCTATCCTCCTACCCCTGGGGTTAGGTCCTGAACAAGTAGTGCCTGCTTTCCTGATTGCCCCAGCCCAGGTTGGCACCCTGGGCCTCTGTGCACAGCTTGAGTGCTGGTCCAGAACAATTCCTCCTGAGGGAGCCTAAGCCTGGGGTTCTGGGCTGGAGGATTAGGGACAGGGACAGTGGAGGGTCCAATCTTAAATCCTTGGCAATGGGATGGGGGTCCATCCTTGTTTTGATGCTCTCATTGGGCTGGTGCTCTCATGGTCCCCAGGGCCTGCTCAGGCTGCCTGTCCCCCTCCTGGTTGTCTGTTTCTTCCTTGCTCCTCTCTGTCCCACTGCACCAAGGGTCTTGGCCTGGCCTGAGCCCTACCTGGCTGTGGGTGGACCTTGGGCAGAGGAGTGAGCTAGCTTTGACCCCTACTCTGAGTCCACGCAGCAGGTTGGCCACTGACTCGGGGGCTTGCCCAACATGAACAAAACTGTGAAGGCTGAGAGGGAGGGGAAGGGGCCCCAAGCCTTCAGTAAACACATGGCCAAAGACAGGGCCGGGGGCTGGAAGTGAATCTCTCTTTGTCTCTTGGGGACCCTCCTGCTCCTTCCACCCGCCCCAGCCTTTGGCCTTCTAGCCCCAGTCTCCACTGTGCTGGGCCAGCAGGGGGAGGGCAGCAGCATGAGGGGCCAGGCTCCACTGAAAGCTCAGACCTACTGAAACTCAGATGCGCTCCACTCCTCTCCTCTGCCTCCACCCGCACAGCCTCCTGACCACACCTTAGAGTGAAGGGGTGACCCGCTGCCATCACCATGTTGGGGAGGACCACGGCCGAAGAGTTAGGAGACCTAGGTTCTGGCCCTGGTTCTTGCTACCAGCTGTTACATGGCCTTTGATGTCCCTTTGCCTGTCTGGACCTATCTCTTGGGCAGTCTGGTGGGGAATCAACTACCTTTGCAGGCTTGTACCTCTGGAGTCCATTTTCTTTCTGACCTGCCCAGGACTCCTGGGGGAGGGGGTTACCCTGCTCAGTATATCCCCAAGGGGGCCAGGCCGAGCTCCAAACCTGAGATGAGGGTTAGCAGGCCTCCTCCTTGGAGAGGTATTTTTCCCCAGAGGTTTGGGCTAGTCCTAGGGAACCTGGGGTCCTGAGGGACCCTGGGTAGGCAGAAGCCAAGGTTTCTTCCTGGGTGGGGCCCTCAGCTCCAGCCCTGGGGCGGGAAGGGTAGGAGGTTACTCAGTGCTGGGTGGGGCCCTGGAAAGGAAGATGGCGCCGAAGTGGCAGAGGAAGGTAGATAGAGGCCTGGCAGTTCTGTGATGGGGTGGGAGGGGGAGGCTTCCTTCTGTGTGTCGCCTTCCCCAGGGGATGAAGAACCCTCCTCCCCCAGAAGGATGGGGGCAGGGAAGGCACAGTGAAGGCAGCTGGGATAGGACAGGATCCCGCAGTAGCCGATTTGTCCTCCATGCTTTCCATCCCATATCAGACTCCTGTTTGGATGCCCTATTTTCCTTGAACTGCCCCCCAGTTCTCCAGCTGGCTGCCTCAATTGCCCTGCCTCTCCAGCCAGACCTTCATTTCTTTCCCAAGCATCTCCTGGTCATCCCCCTGAGCACTGGAACTGGTGGCAGTGGCATCCTCGAGTGTGCGTGCCTGCGGGAAGCCTGAGTGAAGGCCTCTGGTGAGGAGCCTTCACTGCCCAGGAAGGCCAAGCCCTACCGCCTGCCACCGACAAGATTCCAACCACGAGGGGGCGTCATCTAGCCCGCTGCCCCGGTGGAGAGACTGGCCTAGGCCGCTGTACGGAGCCAGCGCAACCCCAAAGAGTACTTGTGGGTGAAGGGCGGGCCCAGTGCCCACACCGGTCTTCCAAACCCATCAAGGAGATGGTTGCCCTCAGGAGAAGGGCCCGGGCAGTGCCCATCAAGCCAGAGTTCACCCGCAGAGTGAGGGCCCGCGGGGAGCTTCCTGGAGGCGGGTCGGGGGCGCTCACCTCCAGAGCTTGCCCAGCGTCTTGCTGAGCTCGGCGTTGTGCAGGTGCGGGTACTGGTCTGCCAGCTTCCTGCGCGCCGCCTGCGCCCACACCATGAAGGCATTCATGGGCCGTTTGACGTGCGGTTTGCTCTTGCTGGCGCCGTTGACGCGCACGGGCATGGGCACCAGCGTCCAGTCGTAGCCACTCAGCACCTGGCTGACCGCCTCGCGGATGCACACGGGGAACTTGTCATCGTCCGCCTCGCCGTCCTGCTGCTCCTTCTTGACCTTGCCAAGCTCGCCCGGCCCTGGGCTGGCTCGCAGGCCCGATCCGCCGCCGCCGTCCGGCCCCAGCGAGGGCGCGCTCCCCGGGGACAGGCAGCGGGGCTCCTCGGAGCCCACGGGGCTCAGCTCCACCTCGGATAGGTCCTGCTCCTCGGCCATGTCGCCCGCGGCCGCCGCCGCCTCGGCCACCTCCCCGGGGACCGCCGCCGGGGTCCTTGCGAAGAGTCCAACACCCACCTGGATGGGAGGCAGGGCGCGATGGAGCTGCGGGCTGGGCGCGCAGCCCCGACGGCGGCCCGGGATTGGAAGCAGGCACAGCCCCGAGGTGACGCCCGCCCTGCTGCCCTGAAGCCCTCTGTAGCCCCTGGGGCGCGGGCACATGCCAGACCCTGGCCAGGCCTCCTAGCTCCCGCCTCCACGTCTTCCCACCACCTGGTCCCAACCGTCTCTTGCTGTGGGTGGGTTTGGGTTTTTTTAAAACCTTCTTTTGGGTGGAGTTATGTTGATGGAAAGGAAGAAAAACGGACTCTTTATTCTGCTCTAATCCAGGCTCCTGGAATTTCCCACCTTTTCTCCCACCTTCCCTTCCCTTCTGCCTGCCCCGATGGAGTCTAGAGAAGCTGGTTGCGGGACAGATGCGGGTGCCAGCCTCCCTCCACCCCACGCCCGGCTGCGGGGTCCCAGGCCTGGGCCCAGGCAGGGAGGAGCGGAGGCGCGGGCTGCGCACTCACCTCCTCGGACCGCTCCTCCAGTCTGGGGCTCGTCCTTAGGAAGTGGAAAACCGTGTCCCAAGGTGTGCGGTCCAGCTCGGGGCTGGGGGGTGAAGCTGGCGGGATCTGAGGGAGGGGCTGGGGGGCCCTGAACCTCAGGCCACAGCCTTCTCAGGACGGAGCCTGAATGCTCCCCACCAACCACCCTGGCCGGACAGCCTGAGACTGACTGAGCGCTGAGCTGCTGCAGAGGGCTGGGGAAGGAGGGAGGGGGAGAGGGGGAGGGGGAGGGGGAGGGAAGGGCAGAAGGTGGAGCCTCCAGTGCTTTCCTTCATCCCCAACTCTCAGGGCTCCTCTGCCAGACACCCCCACCCTGGCTCCTTGCACTGTCACCCCAGGCCCATCCTGGGGCCTGGGCTCAGTCTGGAAGTTGAAGGAGTGGGGGTGGTCAGGTGGGGAAAGCCAAGAGATACAGGTGGGCAAGGCCAGAACTTGTTGCTTGGAGAAAAACTGGGCCCAACTGGGCCCCCCAAACTCTGCCTCAGGTGGCAGATGGGCAGTTGGCAAAAGATTGGGGAGGGATGAAAAGAGGCAGGTGAAGGTTCTATCCACATGCAAGGGCGTCTGGCCTGTGTTGCTTATCTTAAGACATCTTACTGAGTGTGCCCACCGTGGCCAGGCACCACTGGCCAGGCCCTGCTTCCCAGCCTGCCTTATCCTGCCTCCCACTTCCACCCAGGCTGCCCCTTCCTGGCTCAACTTATACAGCAAGACAGAGATCTTGGGTCCACACCTGGTGAGCCAGGGGCCTGCTGGACAGACAGCCCTTGCTCAGCAGAGGTGCCTGCCTTCTCACCAGACCCCAGCACACAGAAGGGCTGGGCTGGTCCCAGGTAAGGGGGCCAGGTAAGGATCAAGTTTCCAGGAGGCTGGTGTGGGGCTGTGCAGGGGATCCTCTGTAAGTAGGCCTGAAAAACTTCTGGGGCCCCGCTCCCTCCACACTGAGCTAATGCCCTCTTGGTGGGGAGAGTTCCGGTCCCTATTACCATGAAATCCCCCACTCCCCTACCCTGAGAAAGGGGGGAGTTGCCCTGCCTCCCTCTTCCTCCCCTCTGTCCATGCGTCCCCTCAACCCCCTCCCCGAAGGCCTGACTCCCCTCCTTTTCCTTTCCTGCCTGTCATCCAAGGCTCCTTTTTCTCTTCTTTTTTCTAGGTGTCTCTTTCAAAGGTCAAAGCCCCTCTCTTCTCAGCAGGCAGGCGAGTGTCAAGGCGCATCCCAGTGGGTGGGTATGCACGGAGGGGCAGAGAGCCCAGGCCATGTTGGGGACCACGAGTGGTTCTGAGCTCCTCAGCAGCTGAGCAAGGCTGAAGCCCCACCCCAGGGGAGCCCTTTCTGGAGTGGGCCTGGAAAGGGGTCTAGGCACGGCCTCATGCTTGGGGAAGGCCAACGAGGTGCAGGGGGTGGGCAATGGGACACAATAAGGTAGTCACACGAGGCAAAGGCATGTTGGGGGTGGGGGCAGCGGACACTGGAACACACACACACACATGCTCGCACACACGACCAGCCAGACAATCGGGCCAGTGTGTCTGGGGCCTCAGAGCCCAGTGAATTAGGAGTTTGATAAGGGTTTTCTCTTTCTCTTGCTTGCTGGCCTTGGACAATCTCCCCCCAGTTTTCCTCGACGCCACCCCCGGCGCTGCCAACCCTCCTCCCCCCGCCTCCCTTCTCTTCCCTGTGCCCAGACTCTTGTTCAGGGCCTTGAAACAGTGAGCTGTCTTTGTTCGAAATACAGGTGAACGGCAATCATGTGATTAACACACACACACATAAAAAGCTTTTTAACAGCGCCCGCCCGGCCTCAGAACCGCCCAGAGAGGAGCCGCCCTGGATGGACAGAGGGACGGACGGAGGGACGAGCATCCAGTCGGTTGTGTCCGCTTGCCCGCAGCAGTCTCCGACACTCGCTTCTGCCCGCCCGCTGCCCGCCTGCCTGGCATCTCTCTATCCCGGTGGGTCCCCATTCATCCTTCCACCCCTTAGTTCCTCCTCTTGGAGGGAAGGACCTCCTTGCTCCTTGTGGCGTCCATGATTAGGGACTGAGACCCCCCAGGGGCAGGGAGGGGTAGCTGTGGAGGGAGAGGACCAGGGTAGGAAGCCGGGTGTGGGGTCGCACAGCTCCTGTCTCCGACTCCCCGCCTCCTCCTTGCCTCTCCTCAGCCCAGCTGTGCCTGGATGGGGGTGGGGGGGCAGTGGGCGCTCTGGGTCTGCAGAGAAGCCACACTGGACAGAGGGGGCCTCTCCCTCCCCCTCCCTCTGCCTCTTCCCCTCTCTTCTCTTTTCCTCCTGTTTGCTCAGCTCTGTGCTTGTGCTTTCAGCTGAGAGGTGCAGGTGAGGCAGGTGGGCCTGCGGGTGCAGGGTAAAGGCTGTCAGATGCCCAGGCTGTGGGGCTGGCGGACCCCTGTTGTGAACACTCTCCCCCACCCCTGCTGGCAACTGTGACCCCTCCATCCCATCCCGGGCCCTGGGGGCCTAGCTTTCTCCAGCAGGGATGGTGAAGGCCCCATATTCATCCCCAGAGATCACCGTGTTTGAAGATGCGGGAAGGGTCCTGGATGAAAGTGCATTGACCTTGGTCCTTGACAGAACAACCAGGTGGGCCAGTGCCACCTTCTAGGGCCACTGCTCCCTTCCCTGCTAGGGGTGGGAGAGGTCCCTTTCCTCTCATTCCTGACCTTTCCCCAAGGATGCTGGTGACCCCCTTCCCATACTCCCAGCCCAGTCTGCCCATCCTTGGCAAGGTGTGGTGGTCAGTGGGCCCTGTGGCCTGTCCTCTCTGCCCCTGACAGGGGCCAAAGTGTGCGTGTAATGCTGGAGATTCAGGCTTCCTTCCCAGGGCAGAGTGGGCTCTGAGGGGCAGTGGGGTTTTCCGGGGATGCAATCTGGGTTCTGTTGAGACCGATTCCTGATTTACTCTTCAGACGTTCCCTGAGAGGAGAGTGGACGAAATTCTGTTAATCAAACAGAGAGCCAGCCAGGACCCTGGCAGAGCTGCTTTGGGTCATCAGTGACCCTTTGCCCCTTAACGCCCCAGGTCTTCTTCCTAAGGCATGGTCCTCTTTGTGGAAGGCTCCACTCTTAGTCATGGTGTCGTGTGTCCATGTCCCCCACCCAGTCTCTCACCTGTCACCTGAGGCAATGGTCACATCCCTTCCTGCTTGCCCCTTGGGACACACTGAGATGAGATGGGGAAATCTGCTTTTTGGCAGAGCCAGGGGCCATACAGAAATGAGGGGTGGTGCTGGTCAAGTTGAGTCTCTGCTCCAGCCTCAGTTTCCCCAGGTGGGCATGAGACTATCTTCCTGACTCAGTGACAGGGCTGAGGGCCAGATGAGGGAACACTGGGACGCATTTTACCTCTGTACGTACCGTGTGCATGAGACCTGAGTGGTCCAGGGTGTGGGCTCTCTGGGTCCCTCAGACCTGTGTTCCCCTCCCAGCACCTCAAACACACACTACCCATACCCACCACAGTGCCCCCAGGGGCCTTTCATCTTTACCTGCTGGTTTGTGGAGAGGGGATTGGCCTAGGGCAGTGCACAACAGAAAGGTGTGCAGAAGCACCTGGCTCCCATTCTTTAGGCCTTGAGTGGGGCCTGAGATCCTATATTTCCAAACAGTTCACAGGCAGTTGGCTAGAGCATTGATACTAATTCTTACTGAACTTTAGAATCCCGTGTGGAGTTTGAAAAAAATACTGAAGCCTGTATTCCACTGCAGACTGGCTAATTTGGAATTTCTGGAATGGGTTCCAGACGCGCTTACTTTCTGAAGCTCCTAGACTTTGCTCTTCCTCACCGGGAACTCTGGAACCCTGAGGCTCTGATGATCCCCTGCAGGGCCCCAAATCTTCCAAATCCCCAGACTTGGAGGGCAGAACTACAGTTACACTGGGGTACATGGAGAGTTGCAAGGTATGGCAGATGAGGGGCTATGCACTGGGGAGAGGGAGGGCTAAGGGGCATGGGTCAGGGGTCAAGGGTACAATAGTGACCAGGACAGAAACTTAGTCTAGCTGAGTATATAGAGAGTGTGTGAGGGCTCCCTGGAATGTTTCCTAGACACCCCCACCTCGAGAGAGGCTACAGTCTGCTAGGTTTGGGGTATAGTTGAAAAAGCACTGACTGCACTTGGAGTCAGGAAATCCTGCCACTAGTAAATGTTGGCCTTTAGCAAATTATGCTAATAACCTCTCAGGACATGTTTTTTGCATGTGTAAAATGTCTATAATTTTATTTATCACTATATTCCCAAGTGGATGGGAGAATTACATAATGAGACTACGCATGCATACCCAGATCAATTTTTGGTGCATAGTAAGTGCTCAATAAATAGCAACTAGGAAAAGTAGTGTGTGTACTAGGAGGTGGGAAGAGTGCTTACTTCAGCCACTGTGGACTTGCCTTCAGGAGTTTATAATCTGCCTGTTGAGTCCCCAAATCAGACCAGGGTGGTGTGTGATAAGCTCCTCCTGGGTGGGCCTCCCCTGCGGGTGCCCCCTCACCAGCAAAGGTGCACACTTCCAGAACCTCCCTGTGGGCTGGCCCAGCTCTGAGAACTCCTGACACCTGACTCATTGAGTCCTCTAGGTGCTGTTATGATTCTCATTCCAGGAAGGAAACTGAGGCACAAAGGGGTTGAGTAACACCTGAGCTCACCAGGATAATGATGGGTACGTAGGAACCAGCACTGGTAGCGTCCATCCCGAGTCCAGCCCCTGGCCACTCCACTCTGCTGCCACTAGACTCTGGGCACAGCCACAGGGGCAGTCCTCTCCTCCTTCCTGCCCCCAGGCCTTTGCACTTGCCCTGTGACCTCCCTAGGCACCTCTTGCTGCCCAGTTTGGAGGCCCTGTCTTCAGGGGCACACTCCTGGACCCTTTGGTTGGAATTCTGTTCCTCTACTACTTTCTTGCCAAGTAGGAGTCGGCTTGTACCTGCCTCACCTCCTCATATACAGACTTAACATCGAGGCCAGTCCCTTCTTCCTCCTGGTTGACCCCTGAAGGCAGGGCCACGCCTTCCTCTTGGTCTTGGCTTCTCCAGGGCCCAGCACCACCAGAGAGAGTCTTCCCTGAGTTGAGCTGCTGTCAGAGTTCCAAGGAGGAAAAGATTGGGGAGGCTGGAGTGGGCAAGACTGGCTTCCTGAAGGCAGAGGGCTTGAGCGCCAGAGCAGGCAGGGAGGAGGACAGCAGCATTCCAGAGCCTGTTCCAGCAAGGGCTCTCAGCCATTACTGTATCTGGTCCAGGCCGAGGAGTCCCGGACCCGGGCCAGGAAGGCAGCTTCTAGGGCCTGAGCCTCCCTTCCCCTCCCAACTCCACCCTCTCTGGGAACAAGGAAGCTGGGGCCAGTGCCTAGTGCTGCCCGGGGGTAGCCAGCCTCTGCCCTCTTCTTAGAAGCCCTCAGAGGAGACTTCTTGTCCTTGTCATCCTGAGGCAGTTGCTGGAAAGCCCTTCCTGGTGTCTCCCCTGAATCTCTCACTGTGGTGAACTTTTGTGAATGTGCATCTGTGTCGGCCCTGAGCCAGCAGCTGGGGTGGGGAGGTGATGGAGCCAGACCCTGGCCTTGAGGGGCCCAGATTCTGAGGAGAGACTCCCATGGAAACCTGGAACCCTGGACAGCTGAGGCCCTCTACAGAAACCCCAGGCCTGGGGTCAAGTCCCAGCTGAGCTATGGAGGCCCCATGTTGCCCAGGTCACCTTCCCTCTCTTGGCCTCAGTTTCCCCATCTATAAAACAAGGGTCAGGCTAGCTTGTGTCTGAGGTTGTTTCCAGATTTGCTAGCCTGTGAATTATATTTCAAAACAAGAGGCCAATGTTTCACCCAGTGTTTCCAAAGTGGTGCCTCAGTCCCTTGGGGTTTCTCAGACATTGGTTGGCATCACTTGAAAAGAGTTTGGGGGGCAAATTAAGTTTGGGAAACACTGCTTTCCATATTCTCTATTCTGTTGGCCAGGCCTGGAGCCTCCCCTGCCTCCTGCCTCACTCACTTTTCTGGCAGGACATTGTTCCTTCTAGGGTGTATATCTGTGAGCTGGGTCTTTCTCGCCTTCTTCCATGGTGCCTGGCATGTGGAAGGGGCACAGTGATGGAAACAAAAGAATTCCCTGCAGCTGGATGAACATACTAGGGGCAGCGGAGTGTGGTTCCCTGGAGTCTGAGAGTTCCAGGCTTGAATCCTGGCACCCCCACTCATGTCCTTGACAAATGACCTAACATTTCCAAGTCTCAGTTTCCTTCTAGGTTGTGGCGAAGATGAAACCAGATAATGTATGTAAACACTTAGGACAGTGCCTGGCACTTTATGGGGCTCAATAAATGGCAGCTATTGTTATTAGCCTCTTGGTGAGCTGCACTCAAAGGGTGGCTATCAGTTGACCTTGAGTTTGATGGTAGTCATTGCTGCTTGTCCTAAGTGCTGTCATCATCGACTCCCAGAAACCCTGGAGGCTGGCAGAGCAAGGGCAGGGACATCATCCACTTGAACGAAAGCAGGAAGGGAAGTGACTGACTGTGACTGGCTGAGGTCACATGACTGTTTGGTCATGGAACTTGACCTCTCTGCCGTGACTTTTTGCCGCCGTTTTCCCAAGGACCTACCCTAGGCAAGGCTCTGCTGTCTGTGGGGAAGTTAAAAGGGGCGAGTGCTCAGCTTGTCTTTAGGGAGCCGGGAGTTGGTGCCTTCATTCATACATTCCCACACACTTAGTAGGCAGTGTGGTGCAGACACACGTGCGGACAAAGAGAGTGGTCAAGATGGAGGAAAGCAAGGAAGGATGGGGGAGGGCAGAGGGTGGCCTTTATCAGAGGGCACCCTTGGTGTTGCCCCTGAAGGGGGCTGCTGCTGTTGGAGCAAGGTGGGCTGCATGTAGCTAATGAGAGGCCTTTGTCGTTCTGTTCCCTTGCAGGGAGGAGCTTGTCCAGGTTGCCCAGTTTAGGAAAAGACCGGAAACACTCAGGTCTTCCCATTCCACATTCCCTGTCATTACCCTCTGTCATCAGGGGCATTACCCATGACCAGGGCTGTGGATGCAACAGAGCAGGGGATGGAGCTTGGCATGAATGGAGCCAAGGGTGCCCGTGTGAGGTTGCTCTGGGAGCTCATGCCTGCTCTCACCAGGTTTCCTTCTGTCCTCTGAAATTGAAACTGTGGTGCAGCAGGATTTTTGTATTTGTGTGAGCTCCAAGGGGCCTTTGATGATGTCACTTTATAATGAAAAAGTGAGCTGAGTGATGACAAGGCTGAGATCTGGAGCCAGACCACGGTTCAGATGTGATCTCTGTCCCACTAACTGGCAGTGGGGCTGGGCTAGTTATACCATTTTCCTGTGCTTCAACTCCTCCATCTGTAAAATTAGGATAACAATTTAGGCCTCATGGGAATACTGCAATGAAGAAAACAAAACAAAACAAGAAATAGCAGGGGCTTAGCACAGTGCCTGGGACAAAGGTAGACATAGTGATTGCCTTCTCCCAGCCATTTCAAAGGCAGGTTGATGTCCAGCGTTTTCTGGGTAGGACACCTAATGTACTGGGTATGATAGTGTCTTGGATAAAACATCCAGAAAAATCTCTTGCCTTTCTAGGGGGAGAGTTGCACTTACTGGGATAAGGGCAAGGGACTTGGGCACAGCCCTGGGGGTGTGCTCGCATGCCCAGGTGCTTTGGTTCAGGCAGAAAGTATAATATATCCAGTAGGCTGCCAGACATGGGGATTTTATATCTGTCTTGCTTCCCTACCAGAAGTCAGAGATTTGAGTGTCCCCTGTTTTAGGCTGGAACCGTGAGTGGAAGTCTAGGCTTTGGCAGGTGCAGTGGGAGGAACTGCTTCTGACTGCCAAGTTCCTGAATCCTGCTGTGTGACCTAGGGGAAGCCAGCTGCCGTCTCTGGGCAAATTCATTCCTTTATCTGTACAATGAAGGAGTTGGCCTCTGACACCTTTGGGAGCTTTCATATTTATTATCAGCAGTTCTAGGGTTCAACAGCAAAAGGCCTACATCTGGTTTTGTCTCCCTGAGGCAGCTGCTCAGGGCTGGACATGTGAGCACATAGCAGGTGCTCAATAAGTGCTTGTTGAACCTCATTGACCAGGGAGACAACTCACTAAAGACCTTGCCCACTTATTCCCCCAGAGAGCCTGGCCCTGGCCTGAGTTATATCATTCCTGTTAGCCCTCTGGGGAAAGGACCCACTCATTCTCCACAAGCCATTTACTCACTTGTCCTAAAGCACACGGTGGACAGATTGAGTCAGTGGTTTTTCTCATGGCTTTTAAGATTCAAATCCCAAATTTTCAGCCTGGCCTGGTGTGAGCCGGCCCCACTGTCAGCCTGAGCTCCAGCCCCCCAGCCCCTTGCACCCAAGCCTCTCAGCCTGAATGCCCTCCCTCCACAGAACGCTCTGCCGCCGTCATCTCATTGGCCCCTCCTCTGGGCTCACCCTAAGGGTCATGCCTACAGAGACCCCTCCCCATCCTCCAGTAGCAGTTCTTCTCTCTGACAGTACCCCACCTTTTCCTTTATAGTACATGCTGCAATTTATGATTATATATTTATTGTGAGATTAGTTATTCATTGTTCGTCTTCCCACAAAGATGTTAGCTTCATGAATCCTCATTGATCAGCTGCCTGGTATACCAGAGGTGCTCCGTGAATGAGTGAATGAATGAATGAATGAACAAATGTAGCCTCATAGGGAGGACGTATAGTGGGAGGGATAATGGAAGGCCTCGAGAGGCGGAGAGCAGGGAGGGAGGAGACCTAGGGCCTCTCCTATGATGGAGGCAGGTGTCCTTCCTTCTCTGGAACTGGGGCCCCTGCAGGCCTCGTCTGGGTTTAGTGGGACACTGAGCCCCTGAGGACCTAGAGAAGAGGAGCAGGGGTGCAAGGCCTGAGCCTGTTCCCTGGCCAGCTCCACCCCTTCCCCAGCAGGCAGGAAGGACAGGACAGATCTGTCAGCTTCAGACACCACTGCCCCAGGGGACCCAGCCCTGAGCCCAAGGAGGCCAAGGGAAAGAGGGGGGGACAGGAAGCGCCCGGTCTTCCCCTCCTCCCTCCTGCCCCACCCTCCGCCCCCATCTCTGGCTAGAGCCCGAAGCCCCAGGCCTTGGCACTCGGGGGACGGGGGTGGGGAAATGGGGGACAGAAATCCCATTTTGGCCCAATGCCTTCCTCTCTCTCATTTGATTTCTGGGCCTCAGGGTGGCCACTGCCCTGGCAGCTCCAGGGGAGCTGGGCCTGGGCCTTGAGGCTAGGAGGACAGAGGTAAAGGGAGAGGGCAGTGCCCATTTAAGCCCTTCCTGTGTGCCTGGCACTGTGTGACCCACACTGCAGCTCTCGGCTGGGACCTGGGAGACCTCACTGTGAGACCCAGCTCTGCCGAGAATTGTGGTGTGGCTGGGGTGGGGCACTGCTCCTCTCTGGCCTCCTCATCCGACGGTGTGGCCCTCATCTGACAGTGCTGGAGAGCTTGTAAATACTAACTCCCAGTCATAGATTTGGGCAGGAATGTTGTTTTAAAAGCGCCACTGTGATTATGTTGTGGTTGGTGCTGGGACTATTGGTTACTGGCTCTAAGGCCTCTTGCCCAGCCATCCTTCCCAGCGTCCTGGCTTCCGAGGCGCCATCCTCACTGCCATGTCCTGAGCATGGCCTATGCTCTGGGCCCTCTGAAGGCAGGTGAGAGCCTGTCCTTCCCCTAAGTGCTGGAGTACAGTGCGGTGCGGGGCCACGTGGACCGGCCAGGGGCACCGGGCACCTGGGAGGGGCCCAGAGCAGCACAGCCAGGGCTGCCCCCACCTCATCCTTTGACCCTCTTTTCTACTTCCGTTTCTCCTCCCACCATCGCTTCCTCTTCCTCCCCCTCCTGTCCACAGCCTTCCCTCTGGGAGGCTTCATAATTTTGAGGCTGCAGTGGGCTGCTTCTGTCACCCGTTCCCGCCTCTCCCTGTCTTGTCATTCCTCCTTCCGTGCGCCTGGCTGTGCTCTCAAGGTCCCCCTCGATCTCGGTCACCCTCTCCATGTATCCTCTGTCTCCGCCCCCACCCCCTGACCACCCCTTACCTGCCCTGTCCCTGCCTACCTGGAAATGTGGGGTGGGTGCCAGGGGGCGGAGGGCCCTGGGAAAACGAGAGAGATGAAACAGGAAACAACTTAAAGAAACTAAGATTTGGGCAAACAATTGCAGAGCAGCTACTGAGGCTAAGGGCACTGGGCCTCCTGTCCCGACCTGCCTGGCTCCAGCCCATGTTCCCTGCTTGCTTCTCCCCAGGCCACCTTGCCTGGTCCGTCTCCACGCGCTGGTCACCCTGTTGCTCCTTTCGGCCTGTGCCCACCACCCCATCTCTCTCTTCCTATTTTAGCCACACTGCCACTGCCTCTCAGGTCTCCCTCCCCTTGTTCCCATGCCACTGTCTAGTGGGGACAGGCAAGAGATAAGGCAGGGGGACGAGACAGCCCCCTCTGAGCTGCAGACTGAAGGATTCGTACCTTATCCTGGGGCAGGAGGCAAAGGCTGCCTGCACTGAGGGCAGAACAGGGCTTTGTGTCCCCTTCACGCATGAGCTTTCTTTCTGTCACCCAAACAGCCACCGTGATTGGCTCAAGGTCACACAGTAGGCCTCCAAAACTGGGGTGGCAGCAGGGAAAGGGTGGAAAATGGACGTGGAGGGAGATGGGGAGGGAGAAAGCATGTGGTTCAGAAGGTGGGGACACGAGTCCAGGTCTATGCCACCAACTAGCAGAGGGATGGAGACCACGCTCTCCCCCGGCTGATCAGGGAGGGGCTGGCCTAGATGGCCTGTGAAGCTCTTCCCACTGCCATTGTCTAAGCTGGCAGAGGTGGGGTGGGAGGGGCCAGGAAAGGAAGGGACAGTGGGCTTTGGCTCAACAGATCGGTTCTTTCTCCATCCTCCGGACTTAGAGGCTCAAAGAGGCCATGTACCTCTTGTCTCTTGTCAGTGACCTGCCTGGACAGGTGACATCCTGCCTCCAGTCCTGTTAACCCTCTCAAAGGCCAAGATGGGACTGAGGGCCTGCTCATCCCAGCTGTCCCTGGAAGGAGCTTCACTTGGGACCAGAGACATCAGGCCGGCCCTGCGGAGGCTGTAGGCCCTGAGCCTGCCACATTCTGGTGGAGAGGCCTCTTGGCTGCCAGGGCCGGGCTGAGAGCCTCAGGTGAGGAGCTGGGGTCAGGCTTCAGGGGAAGCTGGGTGGTCCTGCTGTCCCATTCTGGGGACATTATTACAGGAGCCCTGGGCTGGAAGACTCCCTCTCTGTACCTTACCTGCTGCTGGCCCCCTGGCCCTGGGTGTGGGGACATGCAGAGGAGCAGCCAGGAGAAGGGTTAAGTCAGGAACTCTTGGGATGGCTTTGGCCACGGCTATTCCTCTGGGAGAGGAGAACAAGGGGCCCATTCTGTGTGTGGGAATTAATAGCAAAGAGTCATCTGGGGTGTCATTCAAGCCCTGATCGGCTCCCAGAGGAATGTGCAAGAGAGAGAGTGAGGGAGAGAGTTGGGGGCAGGGGAAGAGGCCTGAGGCAGGGATGTCACAGGAAGGACATCGGGGTCTGGCTGGCAATAGAAGCCCACCCTGATGGGCAGGCCCACGGCCCAAAGACAGGCACCTGTTTATCATCACAGATGCATCCCTGTCCTTACCCGGCATGGAGACCCCCTCTGGTCATTCCCCCACTATGGGTCTCCTTCTCCTATCTTCCCTCTTTCCCATTAGGCTGCACCCTCCGCCCCCCCTGTGACTGTCTCCCCTGAGGCCTGGAGCCCAGCCCAGGCTGTGGGCCTGTTGGAGCAGGCTGCCAGGCCTGCTCTCCTGGGCGCCCCCAGCCTGCGCCATCCTTGCCCAGGGGTCCTTGGTGTTACTAGTAGGAGTGGCCCTGAGGCTGGCACTGTGAAATGCCAGCTTGGGCTCCGAGTTGTACCCTTATGTCCCCAGGTCCATTGGCCTGGCTGCAGGTCCAGTGCAGATACATTCCTGCTGGGAACTGCAGGCATGGTCAGTTGTGTCAGCCTTGGTGGTAGCCTGAGGGTGAGGTCCTGCAGGCCTCCATATATCTTGAATGTTACGGCCTAACGAGGGCATTTGAGAAGGTCCAGGTCAAACTCCTAGAGGCTGAGGCCTGGGCGGGCACCCACCTGACCCTAGATCATCTGCCTCCCAGCCCAGGGCCCTGACTCTACCCACAGAGGCCCTCATAGGCCACAGCCAAAATGTACCTAAACTGCATAGGGGCAGAGAGAACTGGAGCCGCCAGGTGGGTGCAAAGGATGAGGGATTTGGGGTGGCCAGAGCAGAGCACCCTGCTTCCTGTCTGTGTGTCTGGTCAGAACTCCTTAGTCTCTCTGAGCCCTGGGGGTGTCATCCGTAAAAGGGGGTCGTCTGACACCTGGCAGCTTGTGAGTGAGAGAAGGTACAGCTGTAAGGTGCCTGGCACAAGAGGAAATCGCTGAGTGCTGTTGTTATTTTTATTGTGATGACGATTATTTTGGGGAATCTGGATGGCTTCCACTGCCCTCGGGCTGAAAGGCACCCTGACACACCATTTGGCGTCTGCATCTGCACCTGGCAGCCTGTGTCCCCTCGGGGGAGGAATCCCGTTGCTGCTTCTCCTCTCCTGTGGTTTCAGTGGGTGTGAGTCTCCTGGGCCCCTAACGCCCCTCATGCCAGTGTCCTTTCCATACCTGGTGACTCATCCTGCTGGTCCTTTTGGGACATGGGGCCCTTCCCCTGACAGCGTGGTGCAGGGACCTTGCACAGCCACTTGGGGCTTTGGAAAGCACTGGGCCTCAGTTTCCTCCTCTGTAACGTGCCAGTCTTCTTTGCAGTGGCTGACTCTGGGCATGTTGGAGCCCAAAGGGATCTTACAGGCTGTTCAACTGTGTCCCCTCATAGCACAGATGGAGAACTTAGTTTTAGAAAAGAGAGAGAGGTACTGAGAGATGAAGAGAACTTGGGGATCCCTCTCCTTTGGGCTAAAGCCAGGACTCCTGAGTCCCAGCCTGAACCCTGCCTCTAGGAACAAGGTGGACCTGGATAATTCCTTTCCCATAACTGGGGTGGGGAGAGAATCAACTGAAATAAAGGAGGCAGAGCCTTGTGTAAACTGTAAAGTGCTGTATATTTGGGGAGTTATTAGGAGGGTCACCTTGGGACCCCTTATGCACATGCTGACTCTCTGGCCTGGAGGTCTGAGAGGAGGATAACAGGCGGGCCAGGCTGTCCCCTTGTTCTTCTATAGACCCTGTGTAGGGATTTAGGGTGACTGATTCCCCAAGCCCAGAGGCTGCTGGACAGCGGCCCCATCCAGAGGAGGTGAAGGGCATTTGAATGTGACATCCTCAAAGCGAAGGGTGGGCTGGTCCCACGGTCTCTGCTCTGGGCTCGGTCCCCTCTCCTGGAGGAGCTCATAGCCTGGTGACCTTGAGCTCCTGAAATAATAAAATTCATTATTTTGGCCCTTGTTGTCAGCACAGTGCCTGACACAGGGAAGGTACTCAGGAAACGTTGATGGGACTGAACAGGGTGATGGCAAGATGAAGCGTATGGAGGTGAGGTCTGCGTCTGCCCGGAAGCAGGAGAACAGATGGGAGCAAGTGAGGATGATGCTTGGCTGTGAGGCCTGCGGAAGGCGGGAGAGGACGAAATCAGACGGTCCTGAGTCCCTTCCTCACTTCCTGTGCCGCCTCTTATTTGCAAGCTAGTGCCCCGCTCTGAGCCCCGTCTTCTTCTCTGTTGGACAGGAATAACAGGATCTATTTCATGGTGTTGTCATGAAGCTCAGGAGAGCTAACACATGGGCACACAGTAGGCCCAAGCTTGTGTGCCCGCTGGTCTCTCAGTGTGACATGAACAGGGAGCTTTGGAGAGAACAGACATAAATTATAGAAATGTTTTAAAGAGACACAGCTGACAGATACACAAATAAATACGAGTTGCATTGTATTCGATTCAAAGAAAAGAAAGATAGATTTTTAGGGGAATTCGTGGATTTATTCATCCTATGGACAGAGCCTGAGCACCTGCTCCATGCCGGATGTCTGCTGGCCACCGGGACATAGAGAGGAATCCGGCACTGCTCCTGACCTTAAGGTCCTGTGGTTCCTCAGAGGAGACAGGTCAGTAAACACCTAATTCACTACACCCAGTGGTGGTCAGCTCTGGGTGGAATCTTCTTACCCTTTGGCAGGGAGGGCTAGAGGCATTTTATTACCTTACCCCACAAAAATGTTTAAAAACTAAAGAAAAAAGCTTCAAAATAAGCAAAGCAAACATCAAATCAGAACTAATCAAAATTTCAAATGAAAAACCACAAAAAGCTTTAAAGATTTATAGCCAAAACGTCTTTATTTTTAATATGTCACACAAGTACTTTTTAACATGCTTGATATGATATGGGGTCTGTGTGGAACATACAAGGGTCTTATGAAATGGTCCTAAAGCACCAGGAGCTGAGGGTGCTCAGCAAAGGGAGCTGTGCCTAGGACAATCAAAGAGGGCTTCCCGGTGGAGGGGATATTTGGGTCAAACCTTAAAAAGAGACAAGGGTCTGAACAGAGGGAAAAGCAGCCTAGTGGTAATTGAGGTAGAAAGAGATGCACGAATAAAGGAACAGAGAAAGGAAAGCATGTGGAGAATTTAGGAGACACAGAGGATATTTGGAATGCAACGTAATTTGGACTTAGGGTGCAGAAAGCAGAGGAGGGCAGAGTAACACTAGAAAGGTTGGCAGGGGACTTGAAACTAAGGACAATAGGGAGCCACGGAAAAGTTTTAAGAGGGAGGAGCGGTGGCAATATGGCCAGACTTTCTTAAAACTTCTTTAAAAACTCTTCTAAGGCATTATGGGAGATGCATGGCAGGGAAGGAAGGGAGGTTCTGGAAGAGACTGGAGGCAGGGAGGCCAGTTAGGAGGCTGAAGTGTTAATCCTGGTGAAAGATGCTGAGGACCTGTGCTGGGGCAGGGCCAAAGTGGGAAGAGAAGAGGAGAGATTTGAGAATGGATCAGGCTGTGGCTGGAGTGAAAGGTGCTGGACAGATAATAGCAACGCCTGCATTTCCCTGAGTGCCCACTGTGGGCCTGGCGCTTTCCACGACGTATCTCAGAGGCAGGCTTCACTTACCTGAACTCTGCCTCCTGTGAACCTTCATCTAACCAGAGTCCTATGTGCCCCATGCTTAAATGACAACATCAAAGAACACATAAGTGATACATATTCATTGTAGACAAATCAGAAAATATGGAGAAACAGAAAGAGGAAAGTCAAATCACTCTTAAGATCATTGTCCAGAGAGCATCCATTTAGGTTTGGTGTAAATATTTCCAAACTTTTCTCTTTAAATGTGTTCAGCTCTGTGTACATCTGAACGTGTCTGTCTGAACAGCTAAATGCACAGTAGATAAACGTGTCTTTAGACAGAGAACAGGGTAGGTGTTTGGGATGCGTCTGAGTACATATGTGTACCTGAGTGTTTGGGTTTATGTCAACTTCATGGTAAGCAAACTCATCTAGGTGCTCAATGGATCTATCAGGAACTGAGAGAAGCAGGTTAAAGTCTCCTATTCCCAACATGCTTCAATTTCTCCCTGAATCTTCCATAGTTTTTGTTTTGTGCATATTTGGTGTGTAAGTATTTCTTTTTAAAATATCTTTATTATGATTAGCTTGTAGCTTTGTAAGGTCCACTTTCTCCTTATTTTTAATGCATTTGGGCTAAATCTAACCTTGTCAGATCACTGGGTTGTAATCTCTGATCATCTGTGTTGGGTCAATATGCCTTTACCATCAGCAAACAAATACACAGTGTAGATATTTAAACGTTTGAACTCCAGAGGCCAACAGAACTGAGCTAGAGTCCCGATTCTGACATTCTCTGGATGTGTAGCCTGGGCAAGTCCCTTAATGTTTCAAACCTCCATTTTCAATGAAGGAGGCTAATGACAACTTCATAGAGTTGTGATTAAAGGAGGAATGTCTTATATTAAAAATAGAAGATTGCTATGCAGACACCCACTGTCTGTAGGGCCTTCTGCTATGGAGAATTCAAGGATTTCTGAGCAGCTGCTTAGAGGATCCGTTAATAAGAGCACATTCACGTGCAGACTTGGTAACAGTTCAGGGGGTGGGGGAAACTTTCTCTTGAGCGGCTGGGAGGAAGGTT